ATAATTTTAATAAGGTTAAAAAACTATTTTAAGTACCTTATCAATTGTTAATTCTAGGTCCTGTCAATATAAAAATGTTCATTTTTAAAAATTAATTTGTATTATTGTATTAATTTGTATTTAAAAATAATTTTTACTAAAATATACAAGCTATAAGCATGCATCTCTTCTCTGATGACGAGGGCGGGGCTATAACCTGTCAATCACACGAGATCCACCAATAGCAAACCACAACCATCCGATCAATTCCCCACTGACACAATCAAGCCCCGCCCACATCTGTTCTTGTTTGCCTAGATTTACGGACCAATAGAGAAATAAAGATGTTTAATGCTGAATTTCAACACTTCTAAATCCCAAATAAACCTCACCTGGAAAGTATGATGTCACATCGCTCATGCTCCGCCCACAACCGCTGACGGACTGTCCCGTATTAGCATATTTCCCAAATTAGCATATTTCCCATATTAGCATATTTCCCATATTAGCCATGTGTGTATACTGTAAAAAGGGTTAAACTTGTAAATTATAAACATTAAGCAAGAGTTAAACGTGTCAGTTTCACGAATTTTAACCAAAGTATGTTCCAAACTGTACATGAATATCCTAAAGAATCACACCGACGACCGCTCACCTGGAAAGTGTCGCTCCACACGGCGCAGACGTTCCCCTGACCGAAGCTCACGACGACGAGACGCTCGTTCCTCGGCGTGTGAACCGTCCGAACGCTGCGCGGATGCTCGTACGGAAGAGCGCAAACATCGCGCGGGGATCCGTCCTCAAAGCGAACCAGTTGTTTGGTGCTCGTGGCCGCCAGAACACGTGACTTAAACGATCCGCCGTCTTCCTCCGCGGAGAGGACCAGCATGCACTGCAGCACAGAGACGTAAGCGTTCGGCACGAAACATGCGCCGTCAACGCGTTCGGCGTCATCGATGAAATAAAGAGTGTTTTTCGCATCATTCGTAGTGCCGTGAATCACTAGTTTTCTTTTATGAAGAGGAAGTTCGCCAATAAACTTAATCGAATGAAACGGAATCGGGACTTCTTTAACGCCGCTCTGCGACGACGCATAGAAAACCGAGCTTTCGTGACTCCAAATCAACGTGGGACCCTCTAATATAGAAATATGGTCTCTGATCTCGTACGGTAACGCAAACTCGACATGAAGCTTCCCTCCAGCGGAGTACAGCACGTATTTAAACGCTGATGTCCTTTTCTTGCATATTCTCAGTAAAACACAAGGCACTTTTTGTCTCAGTTGCGCATCGAATGCCGAAGCGCAGTGAACGACGAGCGTCTCCGAAGAGCTTTCTCTGTGTATCGGGTGTGTGTTACGATCTGTAACGGAGAAGGTTTGCAGGGTTTGATCGAAGGAAAGGCGGAGGGAAGAAACTTCTGAGCCTTTGCGATGATCTCGGGGTTTTGAACACTGGAACGCGAGCACTTCCCCTCCGAACGCGAGCATGGAGACGAACCGCTCCGCCGCCATCGTCGCGTCGCTCCAAACGCCACTCGAAAGATTAGCTGGAGGAAAAACATGAAAACATTTGAGAGGATATGCATTGCAGCATACACATTTCCTAAACGTTTTGTGTATAATAGTGAGGCATGATATACAGGTGAAACTCATAAAGAAAATTTATTTTATTATTTTATTTGTTAATTCTAGTTCTTGTAAATATAAAAACGTTTCACTTAAAAATGAATTAGTATTGTATTTTGTCTTATAAAAAAAATACAAATATTGCAAAAATATACACGCAATAAGCTTCTCTTCTCTGATAACGAGGGCGGGGCTATAACCTGTCAATCACACGAGATCCACCAATAGCAAACCACAACCATCCGATCAATTCCCCGCAGATACAATCAAGCCCCGCCCACATCTGTTCTTGCTCCAGAAACATTTGAGAGGAAATGCATTGCAACATGACACATTTCCCAGGCGTTTTGTGTATAATAGTGATGCATAATATACAGGTGAAACTCGGAAAAATTAGAATATGGTGCAAAAGTTCAGTAGGTGAAACTAATATATTATATAGACTCATTACATGCAAAGTGAGATATTTTGATGATTATGGCTAAACGCTGAAAAGCTTTTCACAATTTTCTAATTTTGAATTTGGGTTTTTCATAATCTGTAATCCATAATTATCACAATTATAACAAATAAAGGCTTGAAATATCTCACTTTGCATGTAATGAGTCTATATAATATATTAGTTTCACCTAAGTTGAGTTACTGAACTTTTGCACGATATTGACCTATGTGCTCCGATAAATCATTTAGAATAAACTGCAATATTCAACAACTTTTGATTAGATTCTTTAATGCTGTTGAAAATGATGCTGATAATGTGTTTCATTTTCAAATAATGCTACGAAGTGCTGCAAAAGGATTTATTATTTCTATTAGGGATGCACCGATATGAACATTGTGGCCGTTACCGATAACCGATAATTCTTTATTTTTGAAAGCCGATAACCGATATATCGGCCGATAAATATAAATCCAAATTTGTGTGTAATTTTTGAGAGCCTGGTTACAAAAACAAAAGCCTCACCAGTGAAAGCCACGTCCCAAACACATAATTATGATTATTAACCGATATGACAGATTGAACCATATTTTCCTTTTTTTAAGTAATTCCAATCATATTTCAAGCAATTCAAAAGCTTAATGATGAACATCTGAAGAGTCTCAGCTGAAGGAGATAATACACTATTTATTGGCCTTTATATATCAGACAAATTTTCCTATTGGGCCGATAATGATAACATTAAACTGAACCGATATCGGCTGATACCGATATGGTGGCCGATATCTTGTGCATCACTAATTTCTATGTTTTGATTTATTTTTTAAGGCCTATATAACAGGAACAATACAGAAGCAAAGATGCTCTATATAGTAATAACCTGAGAAATTTAACGAACAATCTAACATTTAAAACAGAGAGAGAGAGGGCAACAAAAAAAAATTAAAATTGATTTTAAAGCAAAATATGATCTGGATTATGCATTTGTCAGATGAGTTGCGTAATTGTATGAGCAAGGGACGCACAATATATCGGCCACCATATCAGTATCGGACAATATAAGTTCATATTTAAAGTTATCGATATCGGTCTGATAAGAAAATTTGCCCGATATATTAAAGCAGTATTGTGGACTCAGAAGCGAAGACCAGGAGACTCGGGCTGTATCTTCAGCAGGATTATTTATCGAGAACATCGTCCAGTCTAACTAAGGGAATCTTACATTATAGTTTATATACATTTCAACTGGGTGAACATAGTGTTGGCATGTAAATGAAGTACAGGAGACAGCCCATTTCCCAAGTCCTGATCTCATCATCAACATAACAGTCTCATTTACATATCCTGATAATAATCCAATCAGCCTAACTATTCAACCAGAGCCATTAAAGACAAAGAGTCTCAGTAATCTCATTAATTTAACTTACAATAGATACAACAGGACTGGCAGGACTCTCATTAACAGGTGATATCATCAACATAACCTTAAAATGTCAAATGTACATAACTCTCCAAGTTTATACTATTGTACTGGAGCCTAATTAAACATTTAATAAACTTGTAACACTACAGCCGATAAATAATGTATTATTTCCTTCAGCTGAGACTCTATAGATGCGCACTGATCAACATGATGGCTTTCACTTCAAATCACTTCAAATATTATACAGGTAAAGTGCAACATGTGCAGCACAAGTCCGTCATATCGGCTATATAAAATTATGAGATCATTATAATGTGTTTGGGACGTGACCTTTAATGGTGAGACTTTTGTTTTTTTAATCAGGTTCTCAAAAATTATATACACTTATCGGCTAATACATCGGTTATCTGCTTTCAAATATAAAGAATTATCGGTATCGGCCAACATGGTCAAATCGCTGCATAATTTGGTTGAAAATTTAAGTTCACTTTTTTATGTTGTCACTTCTGATGTTCAGAATACGAAGAAAAAAAAACAACTCGGTTTTATTAAAAACTGTGCAGTTTGGTTCAGATGCTTATATTTGTATAAAAATTATGATGCTTGTAATGTAAATCAATGAGATCTTTATAACAGTCTAGCATAAACTGCATATAAAAATGCAGTTGATATTTAAAATGCTTAGTTCTATGATCAAAGCTCATGTTTTAACATATAATGCAATGCAATACAATGATGAACCATGGGTTCAAAAGACATACCTAGTCAAAATTATGTAAAAGTTATGACTTAGTTTGTTGTAATTTCGACTTTTCAGCTCATAATTGACTTTGTATGTCATCATTTCTTCTTTCGAGGTTATAAATATGCTTAGTATGTCATAACTTCGACTTTTCAACTCAATTGACTTATGTTACATTTTAAACTTAGTTTCCATGTTATAATTATCATCTGGCTTAGTATCAGTTTTGGTCAGTTTTGGCTTTTTTGTCAGTCAGTTTTGGCTTTTTATGTTATAATAATGGACTTAGTATGTACTAATTTCTACTTTCTGTGTTATTAATAACGTTGTGTGACACAATTTCGACTTTTAATCTCATTATTGAACTAATTCAGACTTTTAATGTTATAATGGTTTACAAAATAAGCGTTTTTCCCAAATATGGCCGAAATGTGCTTCCATGGGATACAACATATAATACACTATTAAATCCCGGAAAGGAAATGTGACAAAACTGATTTCATACTGTACCTCTGCATGACTTTCACAGTGTTTTACTCTGGAATTAATATGTGTGTTTATGATTCTCAAACGCTTCTCCTCTTCCTCGAAGTGCGCGCGTGTTTACAGCACGTCACGTTTTCCGGGTATCTCTTAAAGAAACAGTACTACAGTTCAATCACCGTTTCACAAATAAGTGATGTTTTCATAGGCTTTTACTGTTTTTATATTGCGCACATGATGCAATCATTTGCCTTTAATTGCCAAAGCACATCAGAGGAACTTTATGTTGCTGCAAAAGCCTGTTCAAAGGTTAGTTTGACATTTCCGAGCCAAAATGGCGTCCTCCCGCGTCCAGTTTCACTGAGTCTGGGGTCTATCCCACTGAACACCAGGCCACTGCTGACTGACAGTGCTGACCATCATGGCGGAGGCAGGACAGACGGAATCAGAGCAGGTAATTAGACAGCTAAACAAAACAAGGATTACGCGTTTTATTCTCATCTGAAATGGATTTATAAATAATATTTCGCCCTCTCTAAAAGGACATCGAGAGCAAGGTCGAAGAAACACGACAGAGGTTTAAAAGCGAGTATGTTGAGGGTGAGTTAGCAGCACGCTAAGTTCTCAAGCTTCACAATAACATTCATCACAGAAGTCTTGATCTCATAATTGCTTATTCATTCTGATATTAAATATGAAAAAGTATCCACAATGACACTTGGGACTTTTGAGGATCACGTGTCATTGATTATAAGGGCAATTGTTTAATATTTGATACCACAGCTTCAACTGTCAGTCAGAAATCAAAATTCATGTTTTATTCATAATGTTGATTTTTGTTTTGCTGTTGTACAAGTAGCACTAGTAAGGAATAAGTAGAAATACATGCAAAAAGTTAGTCTTACAGTCTTTGCATATTGTTTTATGACATTTCCTGGGATGTAGTATAAAAATATACTGTCATGTAAGCTTTTAAAACATTTCCTTATAGGTTTATAACCTGGCTAACTTGTATTGTGCAGTGTCGAGTAGTGTGTGGAAAATATAATGTATTTCTATGATGCAAAGCTGAATTTTAAAGTATTTTAAAAAGAAAACCATAATTTTAAATTGTTATCATATTAACACAATAGTACTGTTTTTTTCTGTATATTTTGATCAAACAAATATAGGCTTGATGAGCATAAGAGACTTCTTTCAAAAACGTTAAAAATAGTAATGTTTCCAAACTTTGGACCGGTAGTGTGTGTGTGTGTGTGTAAAATAAATAGGGATGCACCGATATGAAAATTTTGCCCGATTACCGATAATTCTTTGCTTTCGAAAGCCGATAACCGATATTTTGGTCGATAAATCGTAATCCAAATTTGTATATATTTTTTGAGAAGTCTCATCATTAAAAGTAATGTCCCAAACACACAATTATAATGATTTTTTTCATTATAATTTTACGTAGCCGATATGATAGACTATGATATATATATATATATCGGCCAAATTTTCTTATTGGGCCGATAACGATATTACAAATCAACATATACTGATATGGTTGCCGATATAGTGTGCATCCTAAAAATAAAATAAAATTATATGCATAAAGACAGATTTATGCATGTCTGTGTCTTTACTTCAACTAATTAAATGCAACTAATGAAACCCTGCACTGCTGTCACTAACTCGATCCCACAGAGTCCCAGGACAAATACGACAGCAGAGACGTGGAGAAACTCCTGCGAGATGACGCTCTGCTGGAAGGATACCTCACGTGGAGACACTTCGTGGTGGACGACACCTTAAAGATGATCGACGAGAGCTTGCAGTGGAGGAGAGAGTTTCAGCTCAACGGTTGGTGTGTGTGTGTGTGTGTGATGCTCTTTCACAGAAACGGGCTGAAATGAGGAAGTTACTCACATGCTCGACGGTTCCTGTCACGTCCTGGCCACATTTACCAAAAGAAAATTCAACTTATTTTTGGACTAATGCGATCTTTTGCAGTGTGAAATTATTTTAATGACAGTTTCCAACCCCATAAAACAATTTCTGAAGTACATCATCATTTTGACTTTCTATGTTATAAATATGAGTCAGTTATGAGATGAAAAGTCGAAATTGACATGCTTAGTATGTACTCATTTAATGTTTCTATGTTATAAATTACCTAGTATGTCATAATTGTGACTCTCTATATTAAAAATATGACTTAGTATGTCATAATTTCGACATTCTGTTATAAATAGTACTTACTATGCCATCATTTCAACTTTTCATCTCGTAATTGATGTAGTCATATTTATTACATAGAAAGATAAAATGATGACATACTTATTAGGACGACCAAACACGTCCTGGCCACATTTACCAGAAAGAAAATTCAACTTATTTTCGGTCTAATGCGATCTTTTGCAGTGCGAAATTATTTTAATGACAGTTTCCAACCCCATAAAAATATTTCTGAAGTACATCATCATTTTGACTTTCTATGTTATAAATATGAGTCAGTTATGAGATGAAAAGTCGAAATTGACATGCTTAGTATGTACTCATTTAATGTTTCTATGTTATAAATGACCTAGTATGTCATAATTGTGACTCTCTATGTTAAAAATATGACTTAGTATGTCATAATTTCAACATTCTGTTATAAATAGGACTCACTACAGTCATATTTATTACATAGAAAGATGAAATGATATGACATACTTATTAGGACGACCAAACACGTCCTGGCCACATTTACCAGTAAGAAAATTAAACTTATTTTCAGTCTAATGCGATCTTTTGCATTGTGAAATAATTTTAATGACAGTTTCCAACCCCATAAAACTATTTCTGACATATTTTGTGAAGTACGTCATAATTTCGACTTTCTATGTTACAAATATGAGTCAGTTATGAGCTGAAAAGTCGAAATGACATGCTTAGTATGTACTAATTTAATGTTTCTATGTTATAAATTACCTAGTATGTCATAATTTTGACTCTCTATATTAAAAATATTATTCAGAAAGTCGACATTATGACATACTATATTAAAAATATGACTTAGTATGTCATAATTTCGACATTCTGTTATAAATAGGACTCACTATGCCATCATTTCAACTTTTCATCTCGTAATTGATTTAGTCATATTATAACATAGAAAGATAATATGATGACATGACATACTTATTAGGATGGCATAATTTCGACTTGTCCAAACACGTCCTGGCCACATTTACCAGAAAGAAAATTCAACTTATTTTTGGTATAATGCGATCTGTTGCAGTGTGAAATTATTTTAATGACAGTTTCCAACCCCATAAAACTATTTCTGACATATTTTGTGAAGTACGTCATAATTTCGACTTTCTATGTCACAAATATGAGTCAGTTATGAGCTGAAAAGTCGAAAATGACATGCTTAGTATGTACTAATTTAATGTTTCTATGTTATAAATGACCTAGTATGTCATAATTTTGACTCTCTATATTAAAAATATGACTTAGAAGGTCAAAATTATGACATACTAGTTATAATTTCAACATTCTGTTATAAATAGGACTCACTATGTCATAATTTCAACTTTTCATCTCATAATTGATTTAGTCATATTTATAACATAGAAAGATGAAATGATGTCATAATTTCGACTTGTCCAAACACGTCCTGGCCACATTACCTCAAAAAGAAAATGAAACTTATTTTCAAACTAATGCAATCTGTTGCAGTGTGAAATTATTTTAATGACAGTTTCCGACCCCATAAAATTATTTCTGAAATATTTCTGAAGTACATCATAATTTTTACTTTCTGTTATAAATATGAGTCAGTTATGAGAACGAAATTTACATACTTAGTTATGTTACTTATGTTATAAATTAAATGACCTATATTTTTGACTCTATGTTAAAAATTTGATATATATATATTAGGGCTGTGCAAAAGTTAATTGCGATTAATCGCATCCAAAATAAAAGTCTGTGTTTAGTTTACATAATATATTTGAGTGTGCTGTATATAATTATTTTGTATATATAAATACCTATGCATGCATGTATATATTTAAGAATTATTTGCGCTTAAATTCTGTATATATATAAAAATACATAATCTATATTATATGAATATAAATATTTTATATAGGAATAACACATTTTCTTAAACATATACATGCATGTGTGTGTATTTATATATACAAAATAATTATATACAGCACACACAAATATACTATGTAAACACAGACTTTTATTTTGGATGCGATTAATCGCAATTAACTTTTGCACAGCCCTAATATATATATATACATACAGTGATCAGTCCTGTAATACTGGTCCATCTCATATTATGAATAGTATTTTCCTTTGATCGCAGTGACGACATGAGTTCCTCATAGTGACTCTATGCTTCGTCTGTTTAACATTTATAGAGATTTACAAAATGGCAATTGGATCATAACTCTTGTTTTGATCATAACTCAAAACAATTCCCTATTGTGTGTAACCTCAGTCACTTCAGCTGATCTGTCACTGCCACTGAAAGCAGATCAGTCAGTGTTGATTTTCTCTTATCACATGTTCCCTGTGTTGCAAGCTAAACTGATGCGGTTGTGATGACTCGAGCAGAAATGTGATGAATGAATGGTATTTAGTTTTTGTTGTGTTCTTCTTCCTGTAGATCTGGTGGAGAGCAGTATTCCCCGCTGGATGTTCGAGAGCGGCGCCGTTTACCTTCACGGATACGACAAAGAAGGGAACAAACTCTGTAGGTGGAGCGCAATCCTCCGTTATAAACACCGTTCTTAATGCCAATAAAACACACTTTCCCAAATTCAGTGGAAATCATGCCTTAATTACACGAAAATAGATTTTTTTTACTGATTTACTTAATTTTGAATCTACTTGACGACAAAACATACAAGTTTTATTTTAGAATTTTATAAAAAAATATATATATAATATATAATAAAAATGTATAAAAAGTTTAGATATATATATATATTTAGATATAAAGTTTAGATATTATTGGTATAATTTATAATTCAGTGCAATTTATTAAAAAATAAATACTTAAATATATTAAATTATATTAAAAATCTAAAATATAAAGATGTGTATATACGCTGACTCATATATGTCGAATGCTAATTTAACATGCCAGAATAAAAGCAGATTTTGGAGAATGCGCCAGGTGTGTAAAACACTTGTTTATAAACTGCAATATTTCCTATAAAACAATCACAAAACGCTTTGTGACATTTTGAGAAGCTGTGCATGGATTACATCCACTGGAACCATAATCTTAACTTAAACTCGCTGTGCCGTCTCTCATCACGTGTGTGTGTGTGTGTGTGTGTGATATAGTCTGGTTCAGAGTGAAACTCCACGTGAAGGATGCCAAGACGACACTGGATAAGAAGAGGTATGTGGCGTTCTGGCTGGAGCGCTACGCTAGACGCGAGCCAGGAATGCCGCTGACGGTGGTGTTCGACATGTCCGAGTCCGGAATCAGTAATATCGTGAGTTCTTCACTTCACTCTTAGAAAAGACCAAAACCAGCTCTAAAACATGTTCAATCCTGACAAAGCCACACTCTTAACGATTAAACACATCCAAAATAAAAGTTTGTGTTTACATAATATGTGTGTGAACAATGCATAATTATTTTATATATGTAAATACACAGATATGCATGTATATATTAGAGAAATATTTGCATATATATATATATGTATACATCATTTATCATACAGTAGTCGACATTTGAAGTGTATCAAAACCTTTCATCAAAGTTATGCATGAATTTTGAGCAACTTTTTTGATCCACTTCAAATGTTGACTACTGTATAAATAAAAATATTTCATATATAAATAACACATTTTTCTTAAATATATACATGCATATGTGTGTATTTGTATATACAAAATAATTGTACAGAGTACACACATATATTATGTAAACGCAAACTTTTATTTTGGAAGCGATTAATCATTTCCCAGCATTACAAATAATATTAATATAAATATTTATAATATAAATAACACATTTTTCTTAAATATATACATGCATGTGTGTATTTATATATACAAAATAAACACTGTACATTTTTTAACAAACTTTTATGTAAACTCAAACTTTTATTTTGGATGCGATTAATCGTTGCCCAGCACTACAAATAATATTAATATAAATATTTATAATATAAATAACACATTTTTCTTAAATATATACATGAATATGTGTGTATTTATTAGGGCTGGGAAACGATTAATCGCGATTAATCGCATCCAAAATAAAAGTTTGTGTTTACATAATATATGTGTGTGTAGTGTGTATAATTATTTTGTATATATAAATATACACACATGCATGTATTTAAGAAAAAAATGTTATTAATATATCAAATATTTATATTTATGTATAATATTAATTTTGTATAAATATATATATAAAGTATATACATGCAAATATTTCTTAAATGTTTACATGCATGTGTGTGTATTTATATATACAAAATAATTATACACACTACACACACATATATTATGTAAACACAAACTTTTATTTTGGATGCGATTAATCGTTTCCCAGCCCTAGTATTTATATATACAAAATATATAACAGTACACACACACACATATATTATGTAAACACAAACTTTTATTTTGGTAGTGATTAATCTTGCCCAGCACTAAATTAACAATAAAAAAGTAAATAACAAGTTTTTCTTAAATATATACATGCATGTGTGTATTTATATATACAAAATATACACTGTACATTTTTTAACAAACTTTTATGTAAACTCAAACTTTTATTTTGGATGCGATTAATCGTTGCCCAGCACTACAAATAATATTAATATAAATATTTATAATATAAATAACACATTTTTCTTAAATATATACATGCATATGTGTGTATTTATTAGGGCTGGGAAACGATTAATCGCGATTAATCGCATCCAAAATAAAAGTTTGTGTTTACATAATATATGTGTGTGTAGTGTGTATAATTATTTTGTATATATAAATACACACACATGCATGTATTTAAGACAAAATTGTTATAAATATATCAAATATTTATATTTATGTATAATATTAATTTTGTATAAATATATATATAAAGTATATACACGCAAATATTTCTTAAATGTTTACATGCATGTGTGTGTATTTATATATACAAAATAATTATACACACTACACACACATACAGTATATTATGTAAACACAAACTTTTATTTTGGATGCGATTAATCGTTTCCCAGCCCTAGTATTTATATATACAAAATATATAACAGTACACACACACATATATTATGTAAACACAAACTTTTATTTTGGTAGTGATTAATCTTGCCCAGCACTAAATTAACAATAAAAAAGTAAATAACAATTTTTTCTTAAATATATACATGCATGTGTGTATTTATATATACAAAATATACACTGTACATTTTGTAACAAACTTTTATATAAACGCAAACTTTTATTTTGGATGCGATTAATTGTTGACCAGCACTACAAATAATATTAATATAAATATTTATAATATAAATAAAAAATTTTCTTAAATATATACATCTTAAATATATACATGCATGTGTGTATTTATATATACAAAATACAAACTCTACATTTTGTAACTAACTTTTATGTAAACGCAAACTTTTATTTTTACAAATAACATAAATATTTCAAGCATTCCTCTTTCAGAAGAACATAAAGCTCAATTAATAGTTTCAGCCCAATATAAAAGTTCAGATTTAGTTTTAGTGTTTGGATGAAGACGACTGAAGCCCGCTCTGCGTTCGCTCTGATTAGTCGTGGGCCGTCACTGACCCTCTGGCAGTCACTTTAAGGTCATTATCCGTATTATATAAACGTGATTATATGCTGCGCGAGTGGAAGGTGCAGAGGGATAGGCGCTCTTCAACGCTTTAACACACTGCAGATTAACATGGCCTTTAAATCTCTCCGGTCAACCCAACTCGCTCGCTTAATCCGAGAGAAGTCCCCGTCAAACAGCCAATCTCCTCGTCTCATGTTCCCGCGGCCCGAGCCGAGCCTAATCAAACCTAATGCACAATTACAGTGCGCTTTCATTAACGCTTATCTTAAATTGGTTTTGCATGTTTATGATATGAAGGACTGTCATGTGGTACGGGATACGGGTGTAACGCTTCTCGGGAAAATAAAGTGACATTTAAACTTTAGCACCAAAATGACCTCAAAATATGACTTTGTATGATCTCTACTTCTCTTAATGCGTCTCTAATGTCGATCCTATAGGTTATAAAGAGCTTAACGTGCATTTCACTCGCTTTAATGCTAATTCTTGGGGAATTTCTTCAGATTAAATAGTTAAAAAGTCAAGACACCTTTGTTTATATAGTGCTTTTTACAATACAAAGCAGCTTTACAGAGATAACAGGAAAATAATGCGCTTCTAGAAGAATATAGCATCACAGTCCAGCTTAAATGATGTTCATTTTTGTTGTAAACCGTGATGATCCGTGAACCGTGAGATCAATAATATGGTTGAATATTAATTTTAATGGCCAAACGCCAGACAAAATTGTTTGTTTTCCTCTAAGTGATACCATGACCATGCCAAGTATATAAATACTCCATGTAAAAACCATTCTGTTGTTTTCGTGTAATAAACGCTCCTTGAAGAGTCACTAAAGCCAAAGGTTGTTGCTTCCAGGAGCGAACGCGGAGAGCTAATGTTAGCGTCAACAACAAACAGAGCTAAAGGTTACTCGAGCGTTCAGTAAACACAGGATTACACAATCTCAGATCAGAATGACTGACCGGTTTTACTAGTGATCATGTAGATCTGTGTGTGTGTGTAGGTCGAGCTGTGTGGTTTGACCCCAATGGTGACCTTTCACAGTTGGATTAACGGCTAGTTAACATGAGACAGCGGTTTGGTGTTTATAAAGTGGGTCAGTTATAAACACTCTCACTGAAATGCATTTCAATACTCAACAATTCAATGAAAAATGCTTGATATAGTGAATAAATTTGGTGGTTTGTCTGTATAATGGATTTTTTTTGTATAATCCCAATGCTTAATAAAATGAAATCTTTTTTTTATTTTTATTTATTTTTCTAAAACTGAATGACCCAAACCCCCTATTAATCAATGTTTTATAATAATGTGAAGCAGTTTTGCTCACTACTAGACAGGCTGATATATTTAACGAGGTAAAGTTACAGTATACACCGTAGAAATTATAGACATTAAATCAATGAAAAAATGTAAAACTCCTAGAACCGTTTGAAGAAACATCACGAAATTTGGCACATTTATTGCAAAGGATCTGAATATTAATCACACCAAATTTAGGGTCTCTGCTTAAAACTCTCTATCGCCACCATCAGCTTGAATTATGAATTAATTTTTTTTTTATTATAAAAAAATATTTTAAATTTTTTTTTTATATATATTATTTTTTTATTTATATATTTTTATTTATTTATTTTTTAAAAAAAATATTTTTATGATTATAAAAGAATTTGACAAATCCGCCTGCTGTTCTTGCATCTAACGCTCTTTCCTGTGTTCTTCACTTCTAGGATATGGACTTTGTGAAATATATCATTAACTGCTTCAAAGTGTACTATCCAAAGTTTCTTTGTGAGTGGATTGTGTTTATTCAACTTTCTGTCATAGCAGACTTGATCAAATGTAATAAATACTTAGAGATGCCAATGTGCTCATAAAGTATTGAAATATTAGTAACGCTTTACATTTAAAGTTCATTAGTTAACAGTAATGTATTTACTAACAATGAGCGATACATTTGTTATAGTATTTATTAATATTTTTTATTGTTAGTTAATAATAATCCAGCTGTTCATTGTTTGTTCATGTTAGTTCATTAACTAATGTTAACAACACAACCTTTGATTTTAATGACGTATAGTAAATGTTGAAATCAATGGTAACTAAGATGAATAAATGCTGAAGTATTGTGCATTATAATTTTATGTTAATATTAACTAATGAACCTGAAGTTTAAAAGGATTTGGCTGACTATAAAAAGTTTGGGAATCCCTGCATTATAGAAAGTTTTAATTATTTACTGTATTTTATTATTATTTTTTTATTCTAAACTGTTTTAATTATTCTGATTTCTTTTGATTATTTGAATTTCTTCTATGTAAAGCACTTTGAATTACCATTGTGTATGAAATGTGCCTTGCCTTGTATTATAGAAAGAGATTTCATATTATACATATTATAACTTTCCAGAGTCACTTGGTTTGTTTAAACATTTATGTATTTTTGTTTTAATCACAGCCAAAATGATCATGTACGAGATGCCCTGGATCATGAATGGTGAGTTGTGATTGGTTGATAAATGACAGATCTTTGTAATGATTTTCATTTGTCCTAACTATGAATTATTGCATTATTTTCCTGTTATCTCTGTAAAGCTGCTTTGATACACTATATTGTAAAAAGTGCAAAATACAAGAGAAACTCAAATTAAAAGTTCAGTAATTCAATTTAAAAGGTGAAACTAATATATTATATAGACTCATTACATGCAAAGTGAGATATTTCAAGCCTTTATTTGTTATAATTGTGATGATTATGGATTACAGATATGAAAACCTTTTCACAATATTCTAATTTTGAATTTGCCGTTTTCATAAGCTGTAAGCCATAATCATCACAATTATAGAAATAAAGGCTTGAAATACTTCTCCTGTAAACACACGTGAGGTGACGAGTTTGTCTTGTGTGTGTGTGTGTGTGTGTGTGTGTGTGTGTGTCAGCCGCCTGGAAGATCGTGAAGACATGGCTCGGCCCTGATGCCATCAGTAAACTCAAGTTCGTCACCAAGAGTGACATCCAGACGTTCATCGGGCCCGAACATCTGCCGCCGTACATGGGAGGAACGGTACGTACATTGAGTTTATGGATATCGAATGTCTTTTCTGAGGTAAATGTGACTTCAGCTGTTTCTCAAGCTGTTTTATTGACGTCTTTCGGAGGTTGAAACGCTGATTGATGGATTTCAACACTCCTTGTAACGGGTAGTGAAGAGATGATCGGTTCAGCTGATGTGCCAGCACACATTAAAGAGCTGCAAAACCACATTTATAGCTGGAGTCTTGTCAGAATTTGAAAGCTGAGACTTCTTCATATCAAAAGTAACAAAGCCTAACGCGATTAATTGGATGGTAAATCATGTTTAGGGAATAATCAATATTTTCAGGCCACCTGTAGTGTTAAAGTCCTCCTGTAGTCAATCAATTTATCCCTCAAAACTCATCTCTGATCAGCTAAATGACATATTTAAGTGTTTTTCCTTGAAAAAAAGATTCTTCATCCCTTAAAATATCCTCATTAAGTATACGCAGTTCTATAAATATGCAAATGAGCTCCGCCTCCACTCACTCAGAGATTCACTGGTTGATCTGATTGGTTACAAGGTGGTTTGTGACGTAAGAAACACCAAAGCGTGTTTTTGAGACTGTGTTTTGGAGGAAATACTCAGCAATGCTGTCCACTTATCAACTTACACACGGTGTGTGTTAAAGCGGATTAAACACACCACACACACACACATAAACAACATTAAACGCTGGATTCTCACCACAGCGGGACTTAAAGTAAAATATGGCTTTAAGATTTGTGGTAATATTGTTTTGTTTTATCTAATAGGACCAGTTCAAGTACAGTTATCCGCCTCTCCCGGACGACGACTTCCAGTCTCCAATCTGTGAAAACGGTCCAATCGTCAGCGAGGATGAGAGTGACATCAAGGATCTAGAGTCCGACTCCAAAGAAACTCTCGAGTCCAGTTTCAATGCTGAGCAATCCATCAGACCAAAGAAGGTACACCTCGTTCCCTCACGTCTGGGTCACACTTCTATTGATGATGTTAAATTATATTGTGCACTTTTTTTCAATGCATTTTGCATATGCACAATTTTGGATTTTTGTAAAAAAAAAAAATGGTGCACAAAATATTAACTTAAATTTCTGGTGATTCTTTACAATGCAGTTTGTTAACATAAACTTCTGATTAACAGCATTTATTAATCTTAATTTATGTTCTACATTTACTAATACATTATTAAAATCAAAAGTGTAGTTAGTTAAGCAGTGAACTGTTGTATTTGTATTAACTGAGGGTAATAAATGCTGTAATCTATATTGCTCATAGTTAGTCCATATTAACTAATGGTAAAAAATAGACCTTATTGTAAAGTGTTTAGTGTCATTTATGCAAAATATGATTTTCTTTCTTTTGATTTTGAAATGTGGCCCAGATGTTCCTCGTGTCTCCTGCCTGATTTACAGCCGTTTCTATCTGTGATTAATTTCCTACTTTTTTAATTTCTGTGCATTCATCTCACACTTTTGATGAAATCATGCAATAACGCATGCATTTGCTTCTAAATCAAAACAACGTCTGCGAGTGAAAATCAAAGCATGCTAATGCTGCGGCTTTAATAAGAGATCACATGTGATCAGGGCAATATCTATAAGAAAAATAATAATACAATTTGTGGTCTTTTTCAGCATTTATTTGACAATGTTCAATGATAAATATCAATATTTACCTATGTACTGTATGTATATTTTACTAAAACATAAGAAAAATTAAGGACAAACATTTTGTTTTAACTTAGATTAGAATTTTAAGGTAATAATTTTAGTGCTTCAACTTAAACATATCAAGTTTATTGCCAGGGCAACATTTTTTTTATTTAGGTTTAAAAAAAAATTATGTTTTAGTTTTTATTTATTTCCAATTTCAACTTAAACTTCTGTAAGAGTATTCTCAACATTTTTTAAAATTTGTTTAGTTTTAAGTTTTTCAACTATTTATATTTTATTGCAGCTTTATTTAAATGAACACATTTTTAAATAGCGTTTGGTTTACGATACTAACCGTTTCTAACCTGATGCATTGTGCTGCTTATCCGTCATTATCACTCAGCCCTGATCTGATCAAATCTTCTGCTCTGTTAGCAGACGTGTTGATTGACGTCACTTTGAATGAACATGCTAATTTTGATAGCGACGGCTAATGCGCTCACACATCTCATTGATCACTGCAGATTCATCATGTGACTCTCACACTCTCAGCATGAGCTCACAGGTTCAGATGACTGATTTGTGATTGAGATCTTCACTCATTTCCGAGTGTAAAGGCCGTTTACACCAAGAACGATACAATACTATGTTAGCGTCCACACCAGCTCACGAATCGCGATATTTTTCTGTTTATGCTCAAGCTTTTTTAAAGCAGGATGGATTCTGATTGGCTGTCAATGTTTTTATTGTTCATCAGTTGGAAAAAATCTTTCTGAAAATGATTCCAACGATATCGTTTGATAAATGATATAATTTCTCTGTGCCGTTATTGTTATTGTTGTACTGTGGACTCTGCTATTCTTTCATATTTAGAATTATCTTTATCGTTATAGTTATCGTTCTTGCTGTGAACAGGCCATAAGGCTGCACGATATATTGGGGAAAATATGTAAATTGCGATATGGCTTTTTGCGATTGTCAAATCCATGTAAATGTGAGCTAGCGGTTGTTTCAGAATGGTTTGGTTCATATAAAGTCGCAATTGCAAGATATAAAGTCAGAATTGCGAGATATAAAGTCAGAATTGCGAGATATAAAGTCAGAATTGCGAGATATAAAGTCAGAATTGTGTGATATGACAGTCGCAATTGCGTGATATAAAGTCAGAATTGCGAGATATAAAGTCAGAATTGTGTGATATGACAGTCGCAATTGCGTGATATAAATTCATAATTTTGAGAAGTTGCAATTGCGTGATTTAAAGTCAGAATTGTAAGATATAGTCGCAATTAGTCAGAATTGTGAGATATTCGCAATTGTGTTAAAGTCAGAATTGCGAGATATAAAGTCAGAATTGTAAGATATAGTCGCAATTAAAGAGAAATAGTCAGAATTGTGAGATATTCTCAATTGCGTGTTAAAAAGTCATAATTGTGAGATATTCGCAATTGCGTTAAAGTCAGAATTGTGTGACATAAAGTCGCAATTGTGAGAGTCAGAATTGTGAGATATATTCGCAATTGCGTTATAAAGTCAGAATTGTGCGATAGTCGCAATTGAGAGAAACAAAATCAGAATTGTGAGATAAGTCGCAATTGCGTGATATAAAGTAAGAATTGCGAGATATAAAGTCAGAATTGCGTGATATACTGTAAAGTCGCAATTGCGTGATATAAAGTCAGAATTGCGTGATATAAAGTCAGAATTGCGAGATATAAAGTCCGAATTGAGAGATATGAAGTCCGAATTGCGAGAAATAAAGTCAGAATTGTGAGATAAAAAGTCAGAATCGCGATATATAAAGTCAGAATTGTGAGATATAAAGTCAGAATTGCGATATATAAAGTCAGAATTGTGAGATATAAAGTCAGAATTGCGTGACATAAAGTCAGAATTGCGAGATATAAAGTCAGAATTGAGATATAAAGTCCGAATTACGAGATATAAAGTCAGAATTGCGAGATATAAAGTCAGAATTGCGAGATATAAAGTCCGAATTGCGAGATTTAAAGTCCGAATTGCGAGATATAAAGTCCGAATTGCGAGATATAAAGTCAGAATTGTGAGATATAAAGTCAGAATTGTGAGATATAAAGTCCGAATTGAGATATAAAGTCAGAATTGTGAGATATAAAGTACGAATTGCGAGATATAAAGTCCGAATTGCGAGATATAAAGTCCGAATTGCGAGATATAAAGTCCGAATTGCGAGATATAAAGTCAGAATTGCGTGATATTCTCAATTGCATTAAAGTCGAATTGTGTGATATAAAGTCGCAATTGTGAGTCAGAATTGTATGATATATTCCTAATTGCATTATAAAGTCAAAACTGAGAGAGACGCAATTGCGATATAAAGTCAGAATTGTGTGATATTCGCAATTGCGTGATATAAAGTCAAAAGTGTGAGATATAAAGTCAGAATTGCGTGATATAAAGTCAAAAGTGTGAGATATATAGTCAGAATTGCATGATAGTCAGAATTGTAAGATATAGTCGCAATTGAGAGAAATAGTCAGAATTGTGAGAAATTCGCAATTGCGTGATATATAGTCAGAATTGTGAGATAGACGCAATTGCGCTATAAAGTCATAATTACGAGAGATAGTCGTTGTAAAGTCAGAATTGTGAGATATAAAGTCGAAATTGAGAGAAATAGTCAGAATTGTGAGAAATTCGCAATTGCGTGATATATAGTCAGAATTGTGAGATAGACGCAATTGCGCTATAAAGTCATAATTACGAGAGATAGTCGTTGTAAAGTCAGAATTGTGAGATATAAAGTCGAAATTGCGAAGTCGCAATTATCTTTTAAAATGTTTTATTCTCTGGCGGAAACAAGCTTCCATAAAATCACCCCATTCATTCTAGAATGATTCATTATGATTCATTAAGTCATCATTCCTGTATTTTTCATTTCGCAATATATATATATATATAATCGCAGAACAGCAAAACATCGCAAAGTCAGTTTCCCCAGTATCGTGCGGCTCTAATCGAGTCCCAGTCGTTCTCCAGAGCAACTGATTCCTGACTGCAAGTTTCCTAACATTACACTTCGCTTCAAATCAAAGGCTCACGTTTGATTCCCGGCTTTAACTCTTTTGCGTAAGAGTTTGGCGGATTCTTCAGTGCGCTGCGTTATCCTCAGGCGTGTTTTCCTCATGTGCCTCTCTGTCTGTGTGTTACAACAAGGACTGGTAAGATAAGTAGATGTTTCTACACCCACAAGTGCCTGAAGTTTCCAGATCCACAGCAGATTCATCGGTCCATCCCGTTTCAACAGCTCCCGTTCACATGTTTCAAAGCACCTCAGTGGCGTTGCACATGATTTTAATCACTTCCATTGATTTCACTTTAACGAACTACCGTCTGGTTACGGGGTTTATTCAGTTTGATCAATCAGTTTTTTGTTGTAGTTTTACATTGTTATTTTTGTGTTGTGATGTTTAAACTCATAAGGGCTCAAACACACTAAAGTTTGCGGTTTCCGGTTCTTGAGCATCTGCGTTCCTGCAATGTGTTTCTGAATCCACAAATCAAGTCAGCTTTATTTCTACTGCGAAAATATCTGCAAAAATTAGTCAATTATGGAAACATTTAGATTCATTTCAATCTGCAACTTCACAGAGAATGAAAATGTTTTATTTGAGATGCGAGTCTGAATTAAATGTGTAAAAAGTGATCCTGGATAAATTGAGAATCACGATTTTTTTATGTCGTTTCAAATGAATTGCGATTCTCCCATGATTCTGAACAGACAACTAAACAAAATAGCATGTCATTTACTAGAGGTTCTGACAAAATGTTAATTGGTACAGTCATTTTGAAATGGTTTCATTAATTTGAGTGAATGATTCAATGATTCACTCAAATACTCGTTTCATTACTGGATGAATCAGTTTTTTTGAACAAATCTCTTGATTGAATGATTCAAATACTCACTCAAATGTTTCAGTACTGGATGAATCAGTGTTTTTTAACATATCTTTTGACTGATTGATTCAGTGACTCACTCAAATACTCGTTTCATTACTGGATGAATCAGTGTTTTTAAACAAATCTCTTGAATGAATGATTCAATAACTCACTCAAATGTTTCATTACTGGATGAATCAGGGATTTTTAACATATCTTTTGACTGATTGATTCAGTGACTCACTCAAATAATTGTTTCATTACTGGATGAATCCGCATTTTTGAATGAATCTCTTGATTGAATATTTCAATGACTCATTCATGAAGACTTCACTTGTTTCATTACCAGATGGATCAGTGTTTTTGAATGAATCTCGAATTAATGATTTAATGACTCACTCAAATACTCGTTTCATTACTGAATGAATCAGTGTTTTTGAATGAATCTCTTGAATGAATGATTCACTGACTCTCTCAAATGTTTCATTACTGGATGAATCAGCGTTTTTTAACAAATCTTTTGATTGAATGATTCAGTGACCCACTCAAATAATTGTTTCATTACTGGATGAATCAGCATTTTTAAATGAATCTCTTGATTGAATGATTCAATGACTCACTCATAAAGACTTCACTTGTTTCATTACTAGATGAATCAGTGTTTTTGAACAAATCTCTTAAATTAATGATTAAATGACTCACTCACATACTTGTTTCATTACTGGATGATTCAGCGTTTTTGAATGAATCTCTTGAATGAATGATTCAATAACTCAATCAAATGTTTAATTACTGGATGAATCAGCATTTTTTAACAAATCTTTTGAATGAATGATTCAGCGACTCAAATAATTGTTTCATTACTGGATGAATCAGCGTTTTTGAACAAATCTCTTGATTGAATGATTCAATGACTCATTCATGAAGACTTCACTTGTTTCATTACTAGATGAATCAGTGTTTTTGAATGAACTTCTTGAATGAATGATTCACTGACTCACTCAAATATTTAATTACTGGATGAATCAGCATTTTTAAACAAATCTCTCGAATTAATTATTCAATGACTCACTCATAAAGACTTCACTTTTTTCATTACTTGATGAATCAGTGTTTTTGAACAAATCTCTTGAATTAATGATTCAATGACTCGCTCACATACGTGTTTCATTACTGGATGAATCAGCATTTTTGAACGATTCTCTTGAATTAATGATTCAATGACTCACTCACATACTTGTTTCATAACTGGATGATTCAGCATTTTTGAATGCATCTCTTGAATGAATGATTCAATTAACTGCTACTTTCTGTGAAACAAAAGATAATATTTCTAAACATATAGCCGTTTTTCGTCTAAATAATGAAAGTTTTCAAAGTCTGACTGTCAAAAACACAGCGAATCAATTGATTCCAAGGCCGTAAAGGGAAAAACACAGGGTTTGTGAACATATTCAGGCAAACTCTAGCCAGCTTTCAGAAACACAGCTGACGTTAAGCTGATGCGACTCGATTCACCGTGTGTAACGAGTGTGTGTGAGTCCTGAGAGCTCAGAGGAACTGCTGTACACCACTGTCATGTGATCGCCTTCTTCATTACTGTATGGTTATGATAATGAACCATTTCTAACACTCACGCATCTGTATCTCGAGTTATTGTTATTATAGACCCACTAATCATTTCAGTTTTGCACGAACACTCCGTCAAAATGAAGCACATTTCATATCATATTTAACAAACCTATGAAGACAAGTCTGTTTTTATTTAGAAAATGTCTGTTCTTATTATGAGTGATTTCTCTGATCAATACTGTGATTCAATACTGAGTGTTTGCCAAAGATGGATATTATAATACAATATAATCATTTCATCACTAATGATCAATGAACTGGTAACACTACACTTTAGGTTCACATTAGTTAACATGAACTAGCAATAAACATTATGTATTCTGCAATTCCAAAATTTATGAATACATTATTAAAATCAAAAGTTGTATCTGTTAATATTGTTTAATGGATCTGATCTGAACTAACTATGATCATCTAACATGAACTAATGGGAGCTTATAGTAGAGAGTTACCAATAAAACGATGATTGATTGATTGATTGATTGACTGACGGACTGTAAAATGTAATCTTGTGTGAAAAACATTTCCTGTAATCTAGTTCAGATGTTTAATTTTTCACATTTTCAATCAAGCACTGAATAAAGTCCAGGACATTTCAAATCAAACCTGCCTGTTTAATCGCTGGACGTTTCTGACACGTGACCTTTGACCCCCTGACCCCTGACACACTGCATCTGTGGTTCGGTCACGCCAAGTTTCGCTTCAACTTTGCTTCACACACTTCTGCAGCACGAGCACAAAGAAAGTGTGTGTTCAGCAGTTTTCACTTCTCCCACGTGTGTGTGTGTGTGTGTGTGTGTGTTCGGCTCGAGACTGAAGTGGAGAACGGTTCCTGCAAGGGTTAAAGTGGTGTCTGTATAGTCACATGACATGAGGGCCCTTTGTTCTGGTTTCAGCTTTGTGTTTCTGATGCCAACTGGGAATCACATGCTAATTTGTGTAAAGTTATGGCCTGCTTAACTCGGTTTTATTTCATTTGCTCACCATAACTCATTAAAACTCATTAACTCAATCAATTTAGCAAATTTTTACTATGCAAAACACTTGCACAGAAAGACAAAAGCTGACAGGAAAAAGCAAACATTGACTACAAGATAATAATTATTAATATTTTGTTAATAATTATTAATATTTTTATTTATATATATATATATTATTATTTTATTAATATTATTGATATTTTATTGATATTATTTTTATTAATAATTATTAATATTTTGTTAATAATTATTAATATTTTTATTTATATATATATTATTATTATTGTATTAATATTATTGATATTTTATTAATAATTATTAATATTTTTGTTTTTTGCACGTGCCACAAATTTGTCTAATAAAACAATCGAATCCAAACACAACTACAGCATTTGATTACAAAATCTTTAATAATATTTGAATGAAGGGTGACTTTTCTGTCATTAATTGCATAAATGTTACTACTCAAATTAGATATTTAAGATCAACAATTGATTTTCAATGTTTAATTTACAAAACATTAATTTCCTGATAAAATAAATAAAGCATACCATAATATAGGATCATAAAAACAGTTGAAATTATCATAATGTTTGACTTTTGTGATGCATTGATCATTGCTCTCATTGATATTTACTGTTCATTTCTATATAGTCGCGACCATGTTGCCAACTTTCATTAAAAATGAAAAGCGTATTTAAAAAACTTTGTTATCTTTATTGTAACCCTCTCTTTCAATCATTTCTTTTTTTTTAAAATGTTTAAATGAATCAAAAGTTCAGAACACATTCATGCCCCAAAAATCAGAGCTAAAGTCATGCGTTTCCATTATTATCACGTCAGTCTGAAAATACAAAATGCCATCATGTTGTGTGTGTTTCGCAGGTGAATTTCATTGAAGAAGGTCAAAGGTCAGATGATGTGGACAGAGGAGAACCGGGACGCCTGAGAGGGGCTAGAAAACCCACGACCACTTTCAAGGGCACGTTACTGCACATCAGGTACACACACACACACACACACACTAGACTCAAGCCATGGTTTACTAAAGGAAGAATTAGATTTAATCATTTTCATTTATATCAAAAGGTCAAAGTCGATTTATAAAGCACATTTTAACAACACGAATGTTGACTAAAGTGCTTCACAATACACACAGTAACCCAGAACATGTCAAAAATTCAAAACAAAACATTTATGATGAGTAAAAGTCGTCAAACCTGGCAACATCACAAAAACTGCAACCCCATGCTGGAGGGAAAAAAGGTTTGTTTTAATTGATGCTTTAAATATGCACCAATATCACAATACATCGTTATGAAGAGCAATAATGATAGAGATGCACTGATATGAACATTTTGGCCGATACCGATAACCGATAATTCTTTATTTTTGAAAGCCGATAACCGATATATCGGCCGATAAATATAAATCCACATTTGTGTGTAATTTTTAAGAGCCTGATTACAAAAACAAAAGCCTCAGCAGTGAAAGCCACGTCCCAAACACATAATTATGATGTTCTTATTATAATTTTATGTAACCGATATGACAAACTGAACCATATTTTCCTTTTTTTAAGTGATTCCAATCATATTTCAAGCAATTTAAAAGCTTAATGATGAACATCTGAAGAGTCTCAGCTGAAGGAGATAATACACCATTTATCGGCTTTAATATATCAGACAAATTCTTCTATTGGGCCGATAATGATAACATTAACCCCTTAACTGTCACCGTCCCGGTACCGGGACGCCTAACTTTACTTTACTATATTTCTATTAAATCCTAATCTAATTATGGCAAATTATGTATTGTTGGAAAGGTCTAAGACTTCTAATTAGATATTCTACCCCTGTTTTGTGTTAAAAATTATGTAGGAAGAGTAATTGATGAATTTATGACAAGAGTGCACCTCAAAAAATCTGCTTCATAACAGGAGTTTTGACCTTTGTCACAAAAAGTTGATGAACCCACTTTTAATCATTGAAACTTCTATTTTTATGCTAAAAGTTCGTAATAAACATATAATCTAGTATTTTTCAATTAAAAATAAAAAATTAAAGTACAATATTATCCTCTAAAAATGATAATATTTATATTTATTATCCTCTAAAATATAACATTATTTTTTATCGCCTTTTTTTTATTATATCACATATTTTAGTAGATATATTAGGTAAATTAGGTATCATTTGAAAGCTTATAAACTCCGAATTCATAGTGTGAAAACTGTTTTATAATTGAAAGTTGCGTTACCATAGAAACGGTACTTATTTTATCAGGCTCCTCCCCTTTTGGGCATCATTATATTTCATAATTTATGATCAAAACCTTTTCTAATCTTGACAAAACTGATATTGTCAGAAAGGTCAGAGTCTCAAGGTTCCAAATTGTGTGACAGAATTGATATTTGGACAGAAATGTATTAATTTGTTAAGGCAGAATGTATACAACTAAATTCAATGGAATTCAATGGCACCCGGTGGCTATTTTTGGTACTACGCCTAAACAAAATCTCATGGGAACTTCAATTTTTGTGATTTTAACTTCAAATTTGGAACATAACTTGATAAGATGTATGCCTTTGATTTTATAGAAAATCAAATTATTTTTAGAGTAAAAAATATTTTATAAAATAAATATTTTATATAAAATAAAAAATATATAGTACAGTATATTTAATTTACTGTAAATTTAAACTTCCATAACTTTTTCATACTTTCATTTTTTGAAGTGTTTTCACTTCAGCAATATTCTGCTGAGTGTTTTCTTTAAAACAAGACCAAACTTGGGTATATATTCCAAAGCATTCTTAAATTACAACCATTTAAGTTTGAATAGTGCATTTTAACCCCCATTCTCAAAAAGGGGGGTGACAGCTAAGGGGTTAAAAATAAACCGATATTAGCCGATACCGATATAGTGGCTGATATATCGTGCATCACTAAAGATTTACAATATATGAAAAATTAGACATGGAGACTTTAGAGAACTGAATCAGTTCACTGAGGCCGAACCGATTCACAGAAATGAATCAAACCTGTTTTTTTAACCGTTAGTAAAGGTTGTGTATGGGTTCTTGATAACCGCGTGTGTTTTCCTCCAGTCCTGCAGAAGAGCTCAGCTTCGGCGCTAAGGAATCAGAGAAGAGGTGTTTGATCGTCCTCAACAACGTCACCAAAAACCACGTGGCCTTTAAGGTGAGACTCGATCATCAGTTTTAAAGCGAATCCCCACCAGACGTGATGCGATTAGCCAGTCCACAATCAATCACAAATCACAGCCAATCAGAAGAGTGTGTGGGCGGAGTCACACTATAATAAACACAATCAAAACACCATTTTAACATGGTTAAAAATACAGGAGCAATGTCTTTAATTATTGAAACGTGAAAGTATTATGCAATCCAGTTGTTTAAATAATGTTGTTCAAAACATGTGTAAGTTGATAAGTGAAAGCTGCAGTGAACCAAAGACAGTCTCAAAAACACGCTTTGGTGTTTCTGACGTCACAAACCACCTTGTAACCAATCAGATCAGCGTGTGATCGACAACCAGTGGGTGAGTGAGTGGAGGCGGGGCTCATTTGCATATTCATAGACCCGCACATACTAAATGAGGCAAGAGTGTCAAGTTACATTCATATTAAAAACACCACACAGACATATAATCGACATTAAAAGCTGGATTTTCACAAGATTGCATAATAAGTTCATGTTTAAAGGGTTCTAATCCAAAACTAATCCATAAAATGGTGCCATGATCAAAACCCTATAAGTTTAGGGCTCTATGAAATGTTTTTAAAATATATTATTATTATTATATATTTAAAAAATCAGTTTCAAGTTTTCTGGATTCCATTTTAATGGTTTAATTAAATTTTAATAATCAAAAAACCTGTTTAATTCATAAAAACAACAATGTATAGTTTCTGTCTTCAGTAGAGCGGTGTCGTGTTAGCGGCTCCGAAGTTAATCGCTAATGATCTTTGCAACGGAAGTTTAACTAACCTAACTTTACTTCACTATATTACTATTAAATCCTAATGTGGTCATGAAAAACTACATATCGTTGGAAAGGTCTAAGACTCCTAAATAGATATTTTACCGCTGTTTTTTTCTTTCTTACAAATTATGAATGAACAGTAATATATGAATTTATGACAATAGTGCGCCTTTCTGAGTTTCTGACCTTTGTCACAAAAAGTCGACGCACACACTTTTAATAATTGAAACTTTGGTTTTTAGTGCTTAAAGTTCATAATAAAACATAATTTGTATTTGTCAAATTATACAAAAAAAATTATATTTTAAAAAGCAAGGTAAGAATTCCTCTTAAAATTATAATATATTATATATACACAAATATATTTTATTATTATTATTATATCAAATATTTTAGTAGTTATCATACATTAGCTATCATTTGAAAGCTTACGAACTCAGAATTCATCCTGTGAAAACCGTCTTGAAATTGGACGTTGTGTTGCCATAGAAACGGTAGTTTTATTAGGCCCCTCCCCTTTTGGGCATCATCTTTCATAATTTATGATCAAAACCTTTTCTAATCTTGACAAAACACGTATTGTCAGAAAGGTCTGAGTCTCAAGGTTGCATATTTAGTGACAGAAGTGATATTTGGATAGAAATGTATTAATGCATACAATTAAATTCAATGGAATTCAATGGCACCCGGTGGCTATTTTTGGTACTACGCCTAAACAAAATCTCATGGGAACTTCAATTTTTGTGATATCAACTTCAAATTTGGAACACAACTTGGTTAGATATATAGCTTTCACATATTTTGTCAAATATATATTTCATATTAAAAAAAATGTATTAATAAAGTTTATTTGATTTACTGTAAATTATAACTTCCATAACTTTTTCGTAGTTTAATTTAAGTGCTTTCAATTTAGTAATAATCTCCTGATTGTTTTCTTTAAAACGAGACCAAACTTAGGTCTATATTCCAAAGTATTCTTGAATTACAACCATTTAAGTTTGTATAGTGCATTTTAATGTGACAGGTAAAGGGTTAAACAATAACTCTATTCTAGATCTGCTGTAAAGCCTAAACACTCTCTGCGACTGTAATCTCCTGTTATCTCTGTGAAACTGCTGTCAAACTCTATATAAAGCGCTGTATAGATGATGGCACTGGTCTGCGGTTATAAACCCAGGCTATGAGTGTTTGTTCTGCAATCAGAGCCGGTTCTGTGGCGTATCGGTTCACTGTAGTTTGGGAGTTGCTCTATTTAAAGAGATGCTTTTGTTTACACAACATTTAGACAGCGTCCCCAATGCCCTTCAGGCTTTATATAGCTTTGCTAGTCCCTTTATTGGGTCTCATTTGTGGTGTGTGTGTGTGTGTGTGTGTGTGTGTGTGCAGGTACGGACCACGGCTCCAGAGAAGTACCGAGTTAAGCCCAGTAACAGCAGCTGTGCGCCCGGCTCCAGTGTGGACATCGTGGTTTCTCTTCACGGAGGTGAACACCGGCCTTCTGTTCAAGTCTTAACCTTAACCCTTAACCCTTAACCCGTGCTGACAGTAAGAGTCGCTCGGAGATTAACCTTGTGCATCAATTAAAAAAAGTTACTCATAGGTAAAAAAAAGGACAAAAACGGTCATAAAAATGTGACGCTTTGGAGCACAGACTTAAGTTTGGTATCATTTTAAAGAAGACCCTTTGCAGATTATTGCTGAAGTAAAAACATAATAATAAGTAAATCCAAAAAAAAGTTATATAGGTATAAGTTTATGAAAATTATTTATAAAAATATTTTATATAAAATATATTTTAAATCAGGTTGAACTCAAAACTGCAATAAAATCAAGCCATAAATCTAAATAGGTTGTGTTGTAAATTTGAGGATGATATCTCAAAAAATGAGCTTTCAGGAACAGTTTGTTTGGGGCGTAGTAACATATTTTCCCCATTGGGTGGCAGCAAAACCCCACTGGAGCTCACAGTGATTGCAGTTTTTCTCTCTCAGTATTACAAACACACACATGCGCACACATATTAACCACACTCTGACATCCATACCAACACACTCACACAAATATTGTTGCATAATTTATCCAGTTGGCTCTATAATATGCCGAACCAGAAAACAGGAATAAAGCGACATTTGTTTTATAGGCCAAACTTAAAAAAGAAAATATGGCACCATCTGATAAAAAATAGTGAAAAATTAAATTTTGAAGCCTTGCCATCAGAATGAAAGCCTCTTAACAAAGATTGCATAATTTTATAGTTAACTGAACCGGGGATTAAAAATGGCAGTTTTAATGGGTTTCAATGGGGACATTTTTGTCCAAAAGGTGCTGAGAGGGAATATTTTTTGTACCTAACGCAAAAAAATATTTTTTTAAGAAAATGACGGTGAAATAGTAAAATTCCAATAAAAATACACACCTGTGCCAAGTTTTTTGCCGTTAGCTTTAACACAGGCAAAGTGATCAAAAAAACAAAACTGAAAAGGACAAAAATGTCCATAAGGATGCACAAGGGTTAAAGGGGTCGCTCACTTTCAAATGAACATTTACTGTCCCTCAATCCGTCATAAACGAACGTCTCGCAGCTCCTGTGGGTTAACAAAGACCTTCTGAAGCAGAACAATGAGTTTGTGTAAGAAAAATACAAATATTTAAACTTTATAAAGTAAAAGAAGTAGCTTCCGGCCAAACGAACATACGGATTCTGCGAGTAATGCGACGCTCTACACACACTCGCACACACAACGCTACTTCTGACATCACAAGTTGCGTAAGAGACTGCTTTTTTTTAACCCTCAATCTATACGACCCCAATCGACTTTTACTTCATAAAAAAACGTCCATCTCAGTGGAATAAGATTTTGTGACTTTTCATACATTATCTATCTACACACACACACACAAAAACTGGGCTTGATTTGGTTGTTCTGAAGGTTATGTAAGAAAATGTTTACACTTTTGGTCTTCGGGGTCAATATGACCCCACATTGAAATGAATGGGAAAAAAACTAAATATATTTTCTAAAAAAAAAAAAAATTTTACACAGAAATGAAGGTTTAGTACTAGAGCATAAATGCAATGTATCATAAAAAAATAATATTTCATATGCAAGTTAATGGTGTAGTTGAGGAATTCTGTGATATATGGATACAAAAGTACTTTATATCTCCAAAAACACAGCATTAATGAACAGATGAGAAGTCAACAACAAAAAAAGATATAATATTTGTACAATTCCTCAATGAATTGCTTGTTTCGTGTAGACCCCGAAGTGCAAACAGGAAACCAAGACCTTTTAATGTTTAAAGTGCTGTATTGTGTCCTGTGGCCACAAGAGGGCGCACGCGAGCGCAATCGGCAGATATCAACCTCATCAAGCATCGCATCTTTTATTAAAATTAAATTAAATATTTAAAGTGCATTAACTTTTGAAACAAGTGTTCAAAATTAGGAAAAATTAGGTCACAATAGTGCAGAAAACTGTGTTTGTAAAACACACTTCAACAACGTTACTACATGAACACAGCCTTCAGAAACACATCTACACACTGATCATCACACACACCCGACGCTCTTGATCTGAGGGCAGTGTTTCCAGCCGATGAAACACACACACACACACACACACTTTTGCCTCCGACCGAGAGGGTTTTCGAGCCTTTTCCCGCCATTTTTCACATTAACAACACAATGTGCATGAAATAAGTTTATTTATGTGTGTGTGTGTGCATCAGGCTTCCAGGCGTCTCCTCAGGACCGGTTCCTGGTCATGGCGGCCGAGACGGAGAGCGGCACCGGAGTCCCAGAGCTATCTCAGTTCTGGAAGGAGGTTTCAAAAGCCAAAATCATGGAGCACAGGTGACCACACACACACACACACACACACACACTCCAGCTGCTTTAACCAGGAGTGACACTGATATCATAACTAGTGACTAATCATATACACTAGACCTCACCTGGGGGTTCTAAGCATGCGTCAAAACCGCCGCCATCTTGGAACAGGCGTCTTGTCATAGGAAGTAGCTAGGTAACGCTGCTATCTCTGCCTTTACGTTGAATTCATTGATGGTGGCGGACTTTTGTGCAGCGTATGATGGTCACGGATGAAATCTGAACTAGGAAGAATGTTTAAAAAAAAAAAAAAAAATTAACAATTTTTTTTTTCTTTCTGGAATCAATGATAAATGCATGTCTGACCGTTGGAACAAACCAAAAAAACAAGAAAAATCGCATTCATGATGATTTATGGGGATTTTATTTGCGTTAGACCTGTGTCTGGTGCATTAAAGTGGAGGGGCTCCCCTGTTTCAAGATGGCGGCTCCATTGACGCATTCGTTCTAATGAACTGCCGTATCCAAGGTGAGGTCTAGTGTATATGTCTATGGTGACTAATGAGCCGTTTCCATGGTTCCCACAGGCTACGCTGTCACGTCCTAGAGAGTCCCAAGTCTATCCTCAGCAATTCATTCGATAGTTCGTCAGTGACGTCCACCAATGAGCATCAGGATCTGCAGACGATGGTGAGAACTTGTTCAACACTTACTTGCTTAAAGGGTTTTTGGTTAATTTGAGGTATTTAACTTAAGTTTGAGTCAGAAATCTCCACTTCAGCAGCTTCACACACACCTAACTTTACAGCTTTATTCATATCTGTATTCTAAAGATGATTTATAAAACATTTTATTCCTAAAAACACGTCTGTTTACAGTTGAGGTGTGCGATTACATATCATCTCTGGTAAAATCGTGATAGTTTTAACCTGTACCTCACTTTACAAAAAACAAACAAACACACAGACTTTAGTCGATTAAAATGCAGTTTGAACACACCCAATAATCAAGATATGGGGCCAAAATACTACTTCATTTGATATAGTTAGTCACTCAAAGAGGGCTGTTCTTCTCCAAATATCAACACCATTGCAAATGTGAAATTGATTTTACACAACAGTTCAACAAACAAAGAAGTTTAGATGCAGTAATGCCTGTTTTTGCTCCATTTTGCCCGAGAAAATATTTCCAAACAAAGACAGCAGCAACATTACTTAATGAATCCTTTAAAACAAATCAGTGAATAAATGATTCAGCGACTCTTTCTGAATGAATCAGCCGTTTGTTTGAACAAATTGGTTGAATGAATGATTCAGTGACTCGCTCATTAACAGTGCTGCCACCTACTGGCGGTTTAATTCCACATTTACATTATTTCAATTTTCAAAATATCAATATTCAACGTTTAATGTTTAAAACATCCAAACATTATTGATGCATGTGTAACGGCAGGTTAAATGCGTTCTGATCAGCATTAAATACTGTTTCCTCTTCACTGCTCTATTGTGTCTTATTATTCTCATTTCATTGGTTGATTATCCTTTCCTCGCACTTTATAACATCTTCCCCTCGCCCTAAAATTAAACAATTATTTTTTTATCCAGAAAGCTAATTTTATTTCATTTTGATAATATTTCTTCTATTTTTTAATGCAATTTTTCTTATTTATTTTTATATTTACCTTTAAATTACTAGATTTGATCGATAAATAATAAATACATTTAAGCACATTCCTCACAATCTTAAATTCAAAATAACAATTTCATGCGTAACTCTATTAATTCGGCTCTAAATATCTTCCATCGGGAGTCTTTGCCCTCTTGTGGAATAATATTAATAACAACACATGATATTTCACGACTCTAGATGGGCTTATATCTCTATATGAGCCGCTGTTTCTTCAGTGTGCATTCACACACACACACACATGTAGACATTATACAAACATTTCTAGTTTTTATTTAGAATTTTGATTTTGAGTATTTTGGGGATTCCTCACATTCCAGTCATTCCTAAGCGGCTCAGATTGACTGATGTGTTACTTTTCAAAATTTCTACTACAAAAATCCTCGAATCCATTAATTAATTTATTTGTTGGGGTGTATTCATGGTTATGTCTCGGACCCTCTGATGAACACCCAATTTTACAACTGAAGTCCGAGTTATTGCCTCGGGTTAACCTGCTCGTGTTGTTGTGTCCTCCAGCTGGCGCGTGTGATGCTGACGAACGCTCGACTGGAGCAGAAGCTGGACCGCTGTGTGTGGATGCAGAAAGTTCTTCTGGTTCTGCTGTCGTTTGCCCTGGCTCTCAGCTTCACTACGGCCTACTCGCTGTGGACCTCCTGAAACCGGCCTGAGGCTCACAGACCCAACCGCAGAACCGTGCGCATCACCATGATGTCATCAGAACCGTGCGCATCACCATGATGTCATCAGAAGCGTGCGCTTTTACCCGGAACACCACGATGATGTCATCAGAAGCGTGCGCATCACGATGATGTCATCAGAACCGTGCGCATCATGATGATGTCATCAGATCCGGTCCAAGGCGACTGTATTGTGTTTTTATCACTCACTCTCGGAGAGAATGAACCACTTTAATTTATACATTTATAAAACACGATCATGCAAATGTAATTGACTGACTTTGATTTATATATATATATATATATATTGTTCCGCTTTTACCCGGAACACCACGATGATGTCATCAGAACCGGTCCGAAACGACTGTGTCGTGTGTTTTTATCACTCGCTCTCAGAGAATAAACCAGTTTAATTTATAAAACATGTTGTGTAAAAATTCTCAAGATCATGCAAATGTAATTAACTCAGTTTGATTTTTAATATATATAAATATATATATATATATAGTATTTTATAAAAGTATGAATGAATGTCTGAACAATAAAATGACACTTTTTGTCGCCACTTTTATAATCAGTATTTCTGTGCTTTTTTTGTGCCTCGATAACATTTTTAATTGAAAGTAAATATTTAGATATACGATTATATTCTTGTTCTCTTGATTTGTCTTGATGACCGCTTCAGTCCTGCTGTTCCTCTGATTAAAGCAGCGCTAATGAAGCTGACGGATCAATAGAGACAGTTAATGAGAGACTGGCTCCTGTAATCATGTTGCCCTGGTGACAAATCAGCGCGTGGTTTCCCCGGGAACAAGAGTTGTTTTATGTTAGGTTTGTTTACCCTTTTCCCGCCACTGATGGAACTTCCCGGCGAACTGTGTTTTCTCTGTTATACGCTAGGGGGCGCTATAGCACACAAAAGAATGCATGAAGCTAGAATAAATGAGTTAAAATTGAATTTTCTTTTATTTATTATATTATTTTCTTCTATTACTTCTATTATTCTTCTATTTATTCTATTATTTTCATTTTAAAGTTTTAGTAATGTTTAGTAGTTTCTGTTATTTTCATTAGTTTTTTAAATATGGTTATTTAAAAAAAATCCCGGCACTAATGGCTATTTTGCTAAGTATTGATATCAGTGTTATTTCAGTTTTATGAATATTTTGAATTAGCTTTTATTTTATGCTCGTTTTAGTTTACATAATTTCGTAATATGCTTTTGTCATTTTATTCTTTTTTATTTTTAAATATTGCTAATTGGTTTAAATTTAATTTGATTACATACATCATTTAAACTAAATAAAAAATAATAAATGTTGCCTTGGCAACTAATTGAAATAGAATAATTTATTTTTTCAGATTATTATTTTATTTGTATTTCAGTTAAAGTTTTTTGTTTGTTTTGTTTTTGTAAATTATAACTGTAACTGAACCTGATAAATTAAATGCAACCAGGATTTACAGAAATACTACGTTTATTTAATAACAAAGCCTGATTTTGTTAGAAAAGTACCTTGTGTTAAACATCAGATGTTGATTAACGCGTTTTACTAACACCACTGAAGATCAGCATCAAACACACACCACTATCTCTTTGCTCTTATAGGACTTTGCATGAGACAGTGGGAAACCATTTAGTAACGTGCCAGGAAACATAAACATCCACGCAACACTGCAGAATTGTATATAGGCCTATTTCACTGAAACTAAAACCATTAAAAAAATTACCTTGAAGCATTTAATTTCAGCTGGTCACCATGGAAACCATAGACATTACAATAGGCTTGTTTGAGATGAGCAAATTCTGCGCAGAATCGATCACCGGTGATCAGCGCGAGATGCATGCCGGTTAGAAATGTGTCCGAGAACGGTCCGCCTGGCTCTGATGTCATGCCGACGTATGTCAAAAAACTCTCGCGAGCGCAAGGCGGAAGGGTCGGATTCTGCAGTCGCGCGCAGTTGCTCTCCACCGACTGCGCTGATCAAAAGCATGATGGGAAACGACTTGCTGACGACACAGCTTAATGCTCATTGGTTTAAACAACATGATGAAGGTAAATTCCATATTCATTAAGCTAAATTCTCCAAATCAAGGCCATGTTTTTTTTTTTTTTCAAATTGAAACTGATATATATTGTGAATCTCTTAAACGGGTTAAAAATAAGAAAGCTATAGTCAGTAACTCAAATATACTAGGCCTACTCTAAAATGTTCAAGTGAAAAATAGCTCTCATTTTATAGATGATGAAGTTTGTAAGTCTGTCTATTTAAGCTAAGCTTATTTTGATTTATTTATTTTATTATTAATTTTATTCTGATGTTTATTTATTTGTCGCTGTATAATAGGCCTATTTGTTTCACGAATTGTGGTGCTTGTAGGTAGGCTATGTTTGTAACTTGCATTCTAATAAAAAAGTAAAATAAATAAAAATAAAAGAACAACAGATAAATTGTTCTCTTTTAAAATGTTTGATTTTAAAACTGATATCATGTTTTATGTGTATACATATGGGTGAATAAACTCTCTGACAGTGCCATATGGGTTATATTTCATTTTTGTTAAAACAATAAACACGTCTGTATTAAAGAAAAAAAAAAGATTGATAAACACATATTTAACAAGTACTTTGGGTGTCTTGTTCATTATATTTATTTTTATATAAAAGCAACAGAACTTAAATCACATCCAGTTTATTAGCAACACGTGCACGAGCGTGAATCCCGTTAATCCCGCGATATCCGCCTTTGATCTCACAGGTGTCTGATTCACTGCGAGAACCGAGATCTGTCCGGCTTTATTGCGCTTTTTTCACTCCTCCCCTCACTGCAGCCGCCTACTCTCGACTACATTGCAGGCGAGGCGAGGCGCATCTCAAACAAGCCTAATATAACAAAAAGTCACAACAAAACCTTGAAAACGGGTGTTACAGCGCCCTCTAGTGACGTCAGACTGACAGCGTCAGTTTCTGATCACATGACAAACTCGGATAGAATAATCTCACTTTTTGAAACAGCATATTCGTTTGTTTGTTATTGTTTTTTTTTCTTCTTTTCTTTCATTTTGTTTTGCACACACACACACACACACACCCTCTCTCTTTACTCACTGTGTTGATCAGCAGGACACACGTGCAGATGAGAAACTGAGTGGAAATGTGTTTTTCATTCAGTGTGTCGAAGGAAATGCGAAAACTCAACGTATCATCTTTGGCGGAGTATTCTGAGGTATTAGCCGAAAACCGTCGGCCGCGATCTGAAAATAAATCAAGATGAATTCATAATCACATATTCTTTGATTTGGATATCTGCAGCTGATCATCACATTACAATTATTCAATTAAGCATGATAATATGGTAACATATCACACAGAAGTAGGCTGATTTATGAACATTTATTTATATTAAAAGTTCTTCTTTTGGTAAAATTACATCATTTTACTTTACTCCCTTTAAATTTAAGTTGTCAATGTTTCATTTTTGAAAACACTCTTATCTGAATAATTTTTTGTACCTTTATAAAGGGCACTTACCCCTAATATTATTTAATGTATGCTCTAAATTTCATTTCAAATTCGTACATTTTATTAATAGACTACATTCAATTAAAAGAATAAGATAGGCTGTTACCAATCAAATTAAATAATTGAAAGATTATAACTGTATTAAATGAGATTGTTTTAAATATTAATATACCAATAAGGAATGAAAAGAGTGATACTTTGAAACTAAACCGCCAGTAGGAGGCCACAGGCGGCCGTCTTACTGAGCGAGTCATTGAGTCACTCGTTTAAATGATTCGTTCGTTTAAATGATTCGTTCATTTTCGCTCCATCTCCATTGCTTCAGTTCAAGCCACAGTGGTTAAAATAGCAGGGTCCAGGGGTGTCTGAAATCGCTTTACATTAAAATGTTCCTACAGTAAAAATAGGATTTGACTTGTATTGTAACTGTAATTATATTTTTTCACAATATCAGAACAAATTATCTGACCTGACTGACCTGTGTGTGTGTGACTTGAACTAAAAAATTAAAACAGAATATATAAGAATAAAAGCTCATTTAAAATATGAATAATATGATCTAATATAAAACTCTTGATCTTGTATCTGTACAGAGCTCTTCTGCATCATTTTAACAGAATAAACTCATTTGAATTGACTCATTTCTACAATATTTTGGTTTTGCAGCTGCATTTTTAACAGCAGATGAAGCTAATTAGTTAAAACTGTAGACAAAACTCAACTTGCTAATACTGGAGGTCACACACATACACACACACAGACACTCGCAACACTTCGGGGTCAAAGTTCATGAAGCTCCTGACCTTTGAATCCCTCACAACTGTCTGGAAGTTTCCCGCCTCTTTTACAGGCCGTTGTCATGGAAACCAGTGTAAAGTTCAGCGCTCTGCTCCACACCAGCAAACATGAAACATCCGAGACCACGATAAATTCAGACTGTGTTCCTGAGCAACACCTCATATACACACATATACACACACACAATTTAATTTAATTTATTTATTTTATTTATATTAATTGTATTTATTTATTCAATTTTATTTACTTTAATAGGCCTATTATTTATTTAAATATTTTTATTAATTCATTTACTTATTTTTAATTTCATTTTTTATTATTAATTTACTTATTTTAATAAATTTTTAATTTATATATAAAGTTAATTTATTTATTTATTTTTAATCATATTATGTATTTAGATTCATCTTACGTTTTTATTTCAATGTTTTATTAAATAATTTATTTATTTTGTATCCAATTTTTATCAATTTATGTACTTATTATAATACTAATCAAATATTGATTATATATATATATATACAGTTCATATTTTTATTTTACTTATTTTAATTTTTTATTATTATTTATAGGCCTATATTTAGTTACGTTCATTCATATTATTATTTACTTCATTATTATTTATTTAAATGTTTTTGATTTATTAATTTGGTTATTTTAATTTACATTTCCATGAACCCTCTAACCTGTGCCATACAGTACATGCAGATCATGATGTAACATCATACAGTGCTGTTTTCAGTGTGTGTGTGTGTGTTGCAGACTGCAGTGGGGGAGGGGCACTACAGTATCTCACGCGCACACACACACACACACTGCAGCCCTTCCCCCACTGCAGGTCACATGACCCTGGTGATGGAGGGGGGAGGGAGAGACTGAACCTCACTGTTACCGTATCCCTTCTGCATGAGGCGCATAACACACTGAATGAGAAGCACAACAAGGCTAAAATGTGCACTTTCAATCAACAATTAAACATAACGTTGTAAATAATATTTAAATTTGTACTGTATTTTTGATCAAATAAATTTGCTCAAAACCCTAATGTAAAATAACACTTCTTGTGCTACAGTAAAACAGAAAGAAAAGTAAACGGTTATACCATTTCAAATATACATTTTTAAAAGAATTTATGTTTATTTTACACACTTTAAGCATTAGTCATTTGGAATATGTCGCATTATTAAATGAGTTTATGCGCGAATACTCCAGTGTTTACGGCGGTCACAGGAATGTGTACACACACACACACACACACACACACTAATGTACGCCTGTCATGTTATTTACTTCGAACGCGAATGACTGTGCAGGAGGAAAAGAGCATGAATCAATGTGACCTTACAGGCGCAAAACAAAACACACGATCATAACAACAACTGCAGAAGAGTTATTACACGTCACGCCGAGATATCAGACAAACGCTAAAAAAAAAACAGGTTAGGAAGTAAAATTGAATGTGAACTATGCTTTCTTTTTTATTTATGTATTTAGTTTTGTTTTGATTGTTTATGTTCTGTTATTATTTGTATGTTACCTTTTCTGCAATAAAAAAATAAATAAAAAATAACACGTTAGGAAGTGATTATATTATAATTAATATATAGATGTTTTTGTCTCTTTGTTGTTTCAGATCACGTGTCAACACTCGTTTGGGAAATTATTGTAGCAAAAAAAAAAAAAATGATAAAAATTTAAAATATGTGCTAATTAACCGGGCATGACACGAGAAAGCGACATATTTCCCACGTTTTTTGTGAGTTTTATGACCAGGATTGATTCAGTCAGTCACGTGGTGTCACATATTCACAACCATAGGCTAATTAAACATGACTGTATATTAAATATCAAATATGGTCTGACTGGTTGTGAAAGTGTTGCATGCGCAGCGCCTGACTAGAATACAGTGTTTATAATGTTCACACAAAACCTCTGCAATGTTCTGGGAATATTTGTTTATGTTATTAGTTATGCTCCTGTAGCCTATTGAAATATGAGAGGCATAATCACCGATGATGACGGTGTTATTCATCATGAATGTGTTCTGATTGTCTGCTGTTGAATAAGCAGGTTTAAGGTCAACTGCTTATTTTTCCATTGTGGGTCACAAAGTGCAAAACTCCCCCTCCCCCCATTATCTGTGTCTCAATAGCTAGTGAGCTCACTACCTAGACAGCACTCAGGGAACCAACCTGACATTAATTTATTTCTAAAGTATTTGTTGCAAAATCAATTCATGACTGATTGACTGTATAAAATAAGCCAATAACGAGAACGAATAAAATGTTAATTTTTTTTGTCTCTTTGTAATTGGTGCATTGATCATACACATATACACACACACATGTTTTGGTAGTTTAATGAGTGATCAGACAGGTGAAAAACCCCACAGATGCACATTAAAGTAGGGCCCAATATAATAAAATATAATTTAGCATTTTTTAAATACAATTCTGTATAAAAATGCCATAATTTATGTGTACAATTCTGTATAAAAAATGGCATTATATATTTAATAGAAAAGTTTCAATTTACTTTTCTATAAAAATGCTTTAGTTACTGTTTAAAATAAAAACATAATTTTTCATTTATTTCATTCAATGTTCTGTAAAAATGCCTTAGGCTATTTACTGCGTAAATGTCTAGTTAGGGCGCTGTCTAGTTAGGGCGCAGTGTGTGTGTGCGAACACAGCCCGCCTCGCGCTCTCTCTCTGCTGTAGTGTGTGTGCGTTACTGTCTCTCTTCCGACGCTCATTCTGTGAGAATTTGAAACACACAGGAAACTTGTCTAAAACACACACACGATCAACATTTAAACGTGAACTTTGGCACACGAGCCCTCGATTATCGTCCCACGTCGATGTTTAAAAGGAATACAACGATCTCGAACCGCTGAGGGCAAATCTAACTGGAGAAGATGGGTGTAAAGTCGCAGTTTGCACACTGAAGTTGGGGGATATTTTCCTAGTGGAAGTGAAAGAGAAGCGGGAACTTGAATCTTGGCGGTAAGAATATGAGCGTTTGAACTTTTACTGTGTGGATTGGGGGAAAAAACTCGGAAGATCTGCTCGACACGCACCGCGTTTGAACTTTACTCTACTTCGAAGCATTTAAAGTCTTATTTCCGCCATGTTTTGTGTTTGTCGACCACCTCAGTGAGTGATATACACTTAATAGAGCCCATTTCATGTTGTTTTTGTCCTAAAACACGCTGAGGGAAGCGGCACATGCTTCAGGATTAGCGGGTGGGGGAGGGGCGAGCTTCACTAGTTACTAATAGATAGTTAGTTATACTTAAAATATTACGTTATATATACGCTCAAAACGTGACCACGTGACACATTTTTGAGTCTTGTCCTTAAATGCAAAGTATTTGTTATTTAGTACTTGTTATCTGTCACATGGCAGCATCTGATTTTGTTTGCCTACTGTACTACAGTACAGCTCATTTCTAAATATTTGCGCAGAAGGTAAACGTTTTAAACGTCAGACATTAGACCAGCTAATGAAATGAAACAAGTGAAGTCTTTATGAGTGAGTCATGGAATCATTCTCTCAACCTGATTTAAATAAACTACATCAATTCATATTTTATCAGAACCTCTATTTCGTTTAGTCTGGTGATCTCTAAAATCACGTCGTGCTCCAGATAGCACACGTACGTCTGCAAGATGTCTGTTAAAGATCACTTCATCTGGAAAGCATCTAATGTTTACCAACATCTGATAGACATTTAAATCGTACATTCTAAATCATTACATCTTAAAGACGTCTTCTAGACGTCTATTTGACATCTGACAGGAAACTGCAGATGAGAAAACACTCTAAAAAAATACGTTCTCCAGATGTAAACACACATCAAATAGACGTCTCTGTTTAAGTGTGCTATCAGCTCTATGAAACATTAATACAAATTACACTATACAAAAACTGGTGTATTACATGGTTTTACTCATACTGTACCCTATAAAGTGCACGCGATACAGATGTTTTAATGAATAATTCCACTATTGATGGCCGATATAGAGACATCACACTATTTCAGTTAAAGAGAGTAACATGCTGCACAAAAATGTATTGTAAGATACATTTTAAAAATGTATTTCATCTCAGATATTTCATTGTTTTGAAATTGCACTTTCTAGTGTAAATTCATTTACTTTATGCAAATTGCAAAATATAACTTCTTGGGAGAAAACGTATCTTTAAGCCAAGCTGAGAGCATAATCAAATTAGGCAGAAATATGCAATAATAATATATAGTTTTAAAAACATTTGAACATGCTTCTCAGGATTCATCCACCTCTCGTTGCAGTGTATTATGGGATTGCGTTTTATGTCCGATGTAAGTCTGGCTAGAGGGAAAGACACTGTTGTTTTGAAAGATAGGCCTATAGTTTTAAGGCACATTATATTTATTATGTCCCATTGGATTCCCACGCCTGATCTTCATATGCGGATCACACACACACACACTCCCACGCTTCAGCTCGTGCTGTTATAAATAGCTGTGGAGTTGTAAATCATCACGAGCTGACTGAGCTAATGGTTAATAGGATTGAGGAGAGAGAGAGAGAGTTGTGGTCTGGCCTAGTTTCGACTGTGGCGTCTGTAAAAACTCCTCGTGGGTCTTTAAAGGGTTCGTTCACCCAAAAATGAGAATGATGTCATTAATTACCCCCCTGTGTGTCGTCCCAAGCCCGCCAGACCTTCGTTCATTTTCGGAACGCAGTTTAAGATATTTTAGATTTAGTCCGAAAGCTTTCTGTCCCTCCATTGAACATGTGTGTACGGTATACTGTCCTCGTCCAGAAAGGAAATAAAGACATCATCAAAGTAGTCCATGTGGCATCAGTGGGTTAGTTGGAGTGTTTTGAAGAATCGAAAACACATTTTGGTCCAAAAATAACAAAAACTCTGACTTTATTCAGCATTGTATTAGAGCCAGACCGATATATCGGCAGGCCGATATTATCGGCCGATATTAGGCATTTTACAAACTAGCGGTATCGGCAGTTATAATGGCCGATAAATTAATATTTCAAAAATAAAATAAAAACGGACGAAACACGCTTCAACCATGTCATGAGTGTTGGAGTTGTATAGTTTTTCCACCAGAGGGCGCTCTACACCGTTCCTGTTGGCAACACTCGTTGAGTTGGTGACGAGACATACATTGCTTGAATAACAATTAAAAGATCATCCCCATCAGTTTTCTAAACTCAAATAAGCAGGACAACATTTGTGACTATCATGTCCAGTTTTGCTGTTAAATAAGCCGAGAGTGTTTAGCTAGTAATAGTTACGTTACGTTGTTACAGTGTCGTTGACTGACTGTCCTTTTGATGATGTGACTGAAGTATTTCTTTAATAGTGCGTGACAGTTATAGCAATGAGACGCATCATCTCTCCTCGGCCTGTTATATTGAAAATGTTTTGCAATTTGCAGTATGACGTAATCCATTGTTAAATTATGGCTCGTCATAGACTAGCTAACCATAAAGCTAGCTAATGCTACTATCATCAGTCTGTTCTGTTGCGACAATAAAAGAAACAAGTTTCTTTTTAAAATGCATTATCATATTATTTTAGTTAACTCATAAATAACTACAAATAACTAATGTTAGGGAAATGTGTTAATGTTTTATTTGCGCGTTTCTGAAATAATAAAAAAAATATATCGGCCGATATATCGGAATATCGGATTTTAAAACCAACAAATATTTGTATCGGTATCGGCCTTCAAAATCCTTAATCGGTCGGGCTCTACATTGTATTGTGTTCCGGTTCTGTTGTGGATCCGCGTTCAGTGCCGCTGCTGACGTGTGTCTGGTTCTTATTATAAACCAGACAAAATGCTTTGCATGTTTTGTGGCTTGTCTGTTTTTTAACCCTTTTTTATGGATGCGTGATATTCATGATATTTGTGATATAAATAATGCATAACAATAACAAATGCAGGAGGTAGTTTTTAATGAGTTTGTGAATTATATCTGGGCGTACGACATACAGACTCGGACTGTAAAGAGACATTTTCCATAATGATTATGGTAGCTTGTTGAATGCAGATTAGTTTCGTTTGAATTTGTCTATAATTTTGATTTAAATATGTAAACCGCTTTAACATGCAACATGGTTGAACGGTACAGTAAAGGATGGGGTCAAAAAAAGAAAATAAATTAATACTTTTATTCAGCAAGGACACATTTAAAAGTGACATAATATGGCAAAAGATTCTATTTCAAATAAATATAGTTTGTTTCCACAAAAAATCAGAAGCAGCACAACAGTTTTCAACACTGATATTAATCATAAATGTTTGTTGATCATCAGATCCTCATATTAGAGTGATTTCTGAAGGATCTTGTGACACTGAAGACTGGAGTAATGATGATGAAAATCACAGGAATAAATTACACTTTACTGTATATTTACATAGAAAACAGATGATTTACATTATAATAATATTTCATTCATTTTCCATCAAATAAATAACATTGATTTTAAAGGGGGGGTTGACTGTTTATGGGGTGCAATTAGGGCTGCAGCTATCGATTCTTTTTGTAATCGATTAATCTAGCACTTGATCGATTAATCGAGTAATCGGATAATTTGTTTATGTGTGTTTTTAAGCAACCAAAACAAATAATGTATTACGAAAATGATAAGGTGTTTGGCTTTTATTTCTTTTAAAAAAAAATAGAGGTATTTATTCCAACTGCAACATTTGGCTCCACAACTAATTATTGCAATTTTTACCCATTTGGTGTTTATAAGTGCCAGTGCCAACAATTATATAACAATACAGTTGTTACTGTAAAACCTGTTACATGTAGCCCATAACATGTAAAACTTTGAATACAAACTTAAATAGTAAAGCCCATTTGGCCTTAGTTTTGTCTTCTTAATACAACATTACAAAAAAAGCATTGCACCTTCTGCAAATTACCCACCTGGAAACAAAAATAAATTAATATAAAATATCAACCCAAACAGGTACACAAATGTGTACAATTTATATAAAAAAAAAAATGGAAATAAAACAATTATAAATAAGAATCAGACTTTTTCAACTGTAATCTCAAGACTAACATCAGAGTGTTGATGTTTGTTGAATTTTGTTATTTTAGCATATCAAGTTAAACTAAAAGAAAATGAGAATTGGTGCATTGGCACCTAGCTGAAATAATATATCTATATGTTTGTGTGTGCGTAATTTTAGGCCTGCACTGGTTTTCCAAGCGGTTGTCAGATTTATGAATGGGAATTGTGTGTGATTATGATGTAATGCTGTGTGTGTCCTGCAGGGGGCGCTCCTCCTCTGAGCCGAGTGAAGATGAGCATTACCAGTGATGAAGTCAACTTTCTGGTGTACAGATATCTGCAGGAATCAGGTAAACAACACCGTGTGTGTGTGTGTGTGTGTGTTAACTGATGATAAATCACCCGAAATTAGATCAGCCAAAACAAAACGGTGCAGACAGGCTTTAAGACACACACTGACGTTTAAAAGTTTGGGTCCAGAAATTTTTTTATGTTTTTAAAATAAGTTTCTTCTGCTCACCAAGGCTGCATTTATTTAATTAAAAATACAGAAAATATAGTAAAATTGTGAAATATTTGTACTATTTAAAATGGCTGTTTTGTATGTGAATATACAGTAAAGTGTAATTTGTTCCTGTGAATTTATCAGCATCATTATTACTTCAGTCTTCAGTGTCACACGATCCTTCAGAAACAGGTTTGGGATGGTTTATGGTACTTATACCACTAATATATATTCTTTAGGACATCAAAACCTACAATTACACTCCAGAAAGGTGGACAGCATGGATCTGTGTGTTGTATATAGCAGATAAAGGTGTAACCCAGTGTGTGTGTGCTGCAGGTTTCTCTCACTCGGCGTTCACGTTCGGCATCGAGTCTCACATCAGCCAGTCGAACATCAACGGGGCGCTGGTTCCCCCGGCCGCCTTGATCTCAGTCCTGCAGAAGGGCCTTCAGTACGTGGAGGCCGAGATCAGCATCAACGAGGTGAAACATCATAACTATATTTTAGAGCCAGACCGATATTATCGGCCGATATTAGGCATTTTCCAAACTATCGGTATCGGCAGTTATAATGGCCGATAAATGAATATTTCAAAAATAAAATAAAAACGGACGAAACACGCTTGAACCATGTCATGAGTGTTGGAGTTGTATAGTTTGTCCACCAGAGGGCGCTCTACACCGTTCCTGTTGGCAACACTCGTTGAGTTGGTCACGATACATACAATTAAAAGATCATCCCCATCAGTTCTCTAAACTCAAATAAGCAGGACAACATTTGTGACTATCATGTCCAGTTTTGCTGTTAAATAAGCCGAGAGTGTTTAGCTAGTAATAGTTACGTTACGTTGTTACAGTGTCGTTGACTGACTGTCCTTTTAACTTTTAACAATGTGACTGAAGTATTTCTTTAATAGCGCGTGACAGTTATAGCAATGAGACGCATCATCTCTCCTTGGCCTGTTATATTGAAAATGTATGTTCGCAGTATGACGTAATCCATTGCTAAATTATGGCTCATCATAGACTAGCTAACCATAAAGCTAGCTAATGCTACTATCATCCGTCTGTTCTGTTGTGACAATAAAAGAAACAAGTTTCTTTTTAAAATGCATTATCATATTATTTTAGTTAAAACTCATAAATAAGTACAAATAATTAATGTTAGGGAAATGTGTTAATGTTTTGTTGCGCGTTTCTGAAAAAAAAATATCGGCCGATATATCGGATTTTAAAACCAAAAAATATTTGTATCGGCCTTCAAAATCCTTTATCGGTCGGGAATATCGTGCAAAAGTTATAATTTTGATGGTTGTCTTACAGCTTATGAAAACCCCAAATTCAAAATCTCAGAAAATTTGAATATTACATTAAATCAATAAAAACAAGGATTTTAAATACAGAAACGTCGGCCCTCTGAAAAGTATAATCATGCATATGTATATATACTAAATATATTAGTTTCACCTTTTAATTTGAATTACTGAAATACACAAACTTCTGCACGATATTAAAATTTTTCGAGTTTCTCCTGTATCTGTATATATAACCATTTTATAGCCATATTTACATATATTGTAACTGCAGAAAGGCCTTCAGTACGTTGAGGCCGAGATCAGCATCAACGAGGTGAAACGATATATATTGCATAGTGAACCGCTATATAAAGTAATAAATAAAAGCGTAAATATTTTTTTCTATATATACTATATATATATATATATAAATAACTGCAATGAAATACACTTGCGATGGTTTTATATAACAGTAAGAGAGAATAATAATACAGGACTTAACTTGTTATTGTTAAATTAATTAAAAATAACAAGTTAAATAAACAAATTAAAATAAACAAAAATTAAATAAACAAAAATATTGTAATATTTCAGTGATGCTTTGGATGAACAATATAAAAGTGCAGACATGTGACTACTGTCTTCTCACAGGAACACACACACGTCTGAACACACACTCAGTCCACATCAACCAACCATTCGGCGTTAATTTCGGCGTTGTGTGTTTGTGAATCTTTAATGATGGCAGTGTTTTCCAGTTACTAGTTCCACCAACCTCTATAATATCTTGAAAACTATCTTTATAATGATGACAACTTGATCATCTAAGTATTTCCCAGAGGATATTTCTCAGATTAGCTCCAGATTGGGTGTGTGTGATTATAAAGTTGTGTGTGAATCTCTCAGGATGGCACTGTGTTCGACGGCCGGCCGATCGAGTGTCTGTCGCTCATCGACGCCGTGATGCCAGACGTGGTTCACACCAGGAAACAGGCCATCAGAGACAAACAACAGCAAACCATGGACTCCAGCAACTGTGTTCAGTCGCACGCCATGAAGAACGGAGAGACCGCCCTCAACGGGGAGGAGAACGGCACACACAACCTCAGTGAGTCATCTCATTTAATATTCTACAATATTATTAATCTGCCTGGATCGACACTATTGTACAAGAACGTGTGTGTGTGTGTGTGTGTGTGTGTGTGTTGCTCTCGGTCAGATCACCATGCGGAGGCCATGGATGTTCAAGACGAGGTCCAGATTCCTGCCAGTAAAGCCACGGTTCTGCGGGGTCACGAGTCCGAGGTGTTCATCTGTGCCTGGAACCCCGTCACTGACCTCTTGGCCTCAGGGTGAGCTGACCTCTGACCTCTATTGGTGTCTTAAATTGATTTCCCACATTTAGACATGTTAATAATTAAATATGAACTAATATATTATATAGACTCATTACATGCAAAGTGAGATATTTATAATTGTGATGATTATGGTTTACAGATTATGAAAACCCCAAATTCAAAATTAGAATATTGTGAAAAGGTTTTCATATCTATAAGCCATAATCATCAGGCTTGAAATATCTCACTTTGCATGTAATGAGTCTATATAATATATTAGTTTCACCTTAATTAAATTAAAATTAAGGAAAACAAATATTGATCTGAAATATAGCAAATTAATTTTAACTTATTAAATTAAAAGGTACAATTACCAAACATATCTCAAAGTCTTTTTTATCTTTTTATTAGTTTAATTAATAAACTAATTATATGAAACTATTATCAGTACACTATAAATAAACTGGTTCTATGCCTTTATTAATAAAACTAAATCTAAGCCTTTATCAATATACTTTATTATTTAAAACATACAAGGCTTATGACATTCATAAAAATGCCTTCTTTTAAAAATTTCTTTTTTCTAAATATTTCTAAAATTTCTTTTCACTCCACTGTACTCCACCACACGTGACCGCACGTACGCAATTGACCATTGGTTATTGTCATTTTTACCATTTTGAACAGACAGTGTTTACTTGGAAATATTACCGTATATTTTCATTTTTAATTTATATTTCCATCGTAAGTTTGGTCTTAAATTTCATTTAGAAGTGGAATTAAAAAGTCTTAAATTTAAATTGTTTATACCTGTAGCCACCCTGTTTTCATATCTATAAGCCATAATCATCAGGCTTGAAATATCTCAATTTGCATGTAATGAGTCTGTATAATATATTAGTTTCACCTTTTAAGTTGAATTACTGAAATAAATGAACTTTTGCACCATATTCTAATTTTTTTAGATTCACCAGTACAGTCAACTTAACACGCTCCACAGCGCCACCCAGTGCATTTACTTATAAGTAATACTACATTTAATTTTTATATGAAATATTTTCAAAAACGTTTTATTCTAAAACTGTGAGAAAATCCAAGCTAAATCTAAAATCTAAACAAGTTGTTCAATATTTAAGCCTGATATCTCTGACCTCAAAGGGGCTCAAGGTTTCTGAGAGCGGATAATATGCTTTCCTGTAGAGTAGAGCGCTAGCGCTGTCACTTTACTTTCGAAAATCGATCAGACCATCCAACACAAGGTTCAAAAACGAAAATAGGGATTTTAACGTCCTTTAAAAAAAAAAATATATATTAAATGTGTTTTATGTGGACAGATCAGTACATACATCAGGTCATAGGTTCGATTTCCCAGAGAACACAAGAACTGATAAGTTTGCTTGTGTTTCGGCAGCTCTGGCGACTCGACGGCGCGCATATGGAGCCTGAATGAGAACAGCGGCTCGGCTCAGCTGGTCCTACGACACTGCATCCGAGAAGGAGGACAAGACGTTCCCAGCAACAAGGACGTCACCTCGCTAGACTGGAACGTGAGTGTGTCAGACAGGGGTCACCAGAAATGATATCTCTAAATTGACTGGGATTATCTGACTAACATTTGAGGGCGGCACTTTCTAACACCGTGTGGCTGACAATAAAGCGCTGAGCTCAATGTGAGGTGTAGATCAAATTAACTTTATCATTCGGAATTTCTAATTATTAAGGCGAGATACTACGGGTGAATAGGGTAATTTTTTTAACTAGCAGATATCAACATGAAACTTTCCCAGTTGATTACCTACATTAAGCTGAGAAAAAAATGTATTACAAGTTTTGTGTAATCTAATGTTTAAATATGCAAATGAGGCATTATCTACTTAAATATGCACTAATTTGCATATATTTTAAAAAAACGAAAAACGAGTTTTGGATAAGGCCAGGTTCAAAATTATTTTTTCATTAGATAAGAAAAAAAAATACAGAGGGATTTATGGATATCTACGTTTGTTATCCTGTAAATCAGAATATACTGTCAGTAGCCTTAAAAAAATTATTTTCGCCATGTTTTTTGGAATAAAATGTTATATAAATCAGGCTAGGAATAATTTACTTACAAACCCCTCTGTAAATGTCTTCATAATATAACTGGGTACAAAACTGGAAAGTTTGGTGTATATAGGTGCTACTGAAGTGGAGATTTCGGACTTGGAGAATGAGAGAAAACTGGCTTTAAAGATATAGCATCAGCCAATGAGATCGCGCATTTAGAGTTAAATCCCCCGTGATTGGTTGCTGATAAAAAGGAAATGACCATATTTGGATTTGACAGCGTTGTACAGGAGAAAGAGAGCTTTTTAAGGGTGTTTGTGATTTATAACGACAATTTTTGAAGAATTTATGATAAATCTACAGACGCAAACAGTAAAATAAAGACCTAAATGTGTATTTCTGACTTTTTTTCACCACAAGTCTGAAAGAAGACATGTTATTGAAGACAAATATCCCAAAATCTTAAAATTGATCAGTGAAAAAAAAAAAAGTATGTGTCTCGCCTTAGCTATTAAAAAGCAAAACGAGTGAAAAAATAGATATTAGGGAGTGAAAATGGGCAATAAGCGTCATACAGTTTACAATTATAATTTAATTTATTAATTTTTTTAAATAAGTGCGAGTTTTCCTACATCTTGAAACTTTTAGTTTTATAAGAGGGGACGATCTTTGAAGGATGAACAAGAATAATTAAAATAACATTTAAATATGATTTATAGTTTATAGCTGGAAAAAAGATCTCGGATGTGAAGGACGCAGAAAATCGAATCTGATCCGAACTTGTTTATGCAAAAATTTCGGACTCACTGTTGCTGATTTGTGGACTTAAATTTATATATATTATACAATCCATATTATTATATACAGGTCAAACTCGAAGAATATGAATATTGTGCAAAAGTTCATTTATTTCAGTAATTCAACTTAAAGGTGAAACTAATATATTATATAGACTCATTACATGCAGAGTGAGATATTTCAAGCCTTTATTTGTTAAAATTTTGATGATTATGGATTACAGATTATGAAAACCCCAAATTCAGAATTAGAATATTGTGAAAAGCTTTTCATATCTGTAACAAATAAAGGCTTGAAATATCTCACTTTGCATGTAATGAATCTATAAAATATATTAGTTTCACCTTTTAAGTTGAGTTACTGAAATAATGAATCTAATTTGAATTATTATATTATTAAATGTGTGTTTATATATACATTTGCATTGAGTTTTAAACTATTGTATTGTATTGTAAATCATTTATTTAAGTACATTTTTACTCTCATTTGGCAAATGAATTTTAGAGCGTGGATATGATGGTGAATGTTTCATTACAGTTGATTATTTTCTGTGTGTGTGTGTGTGTCTGTAGAGCGAAGGCACTCTCTTGGCGACTGGATCTTATGACGGATTTGCAAGAATTTGGACAAAAGACGGTAGGTGTGCTAACACCGGGAGCTGATGAACCTCACGAGAGAGAGACTGATGTAATCTGATGTTTTACAGGTAATCTGAGCAGCACACTTGGCCAACACAAAGGACCCATATTTGCACTGAAGTGGAACAAGAAAGGCAACAGCATTCTGAGCGCTGGAGTCGACAAGGTGAGTCTCTGTGTGTGTATTTTACACATTTACACTGTGAATAGTTTATGCTATCAGTCTGGGAATCAAACCCAGCCATATTGATTGAGCTACACAATGCATTAATCCTGAAACACGATCTCTCCATCTTCTGTGTGTGTGACTGAACTGTTTATCAGGTAAAATCTCTTTTAACTGTACAGACGACTTACTTCACGTGTCTGTACATCTGAACTGATTTTTATTAAGTAAACGCAAGAATAACTTTGATATCGTTAGTAATATTTCAACTTCAGAAAAGTATTAGATATGATCAGGATTTTGAGGAAGGTTTATTTGTTCGTCATAATTCATAATCATAATCCTAATTGCAATGCATCATAATTGCATTGCATTGTTTTAAAACTACAGAGATTTGATCATAAAACATAAGCATTTAAATATTATCTTACTAAGATATGTTATTGGCAGATATCAATATTTATATGCATTTTATGTTAGTATCTACTATACTAGTTGGAAAAAGTAAACCAAAAATAATTATGTTTTAAATTAGATTAAAATAAATTAAGTAAGAAATTATAATAAAATAAATGTAAAAATTATTTCAATAAATTAGATTAAAATGAACAAAAATTTAATAGAGATGACAATGAATACAAATATTGAATTAGATTAAAATAGTAAAAAAAAATAATTAAAATAAATTAGATTACAAAACAAAATGAAGAAATATAAAATATTAGATTAAATAAGTAACTATAATAAAAATAAATGTAAATAAAATAAATATTAGATTACAATAAATAAAAGTTTTTAAAAGAAATATATTATATAATAAATTAAATTAAAAAAGTGTAAACATTATGCTAATAAATTTTATTAAAATTAATATAAACCAAAACACAAAAATACATTTTAAATTATTGAAATAGATTAAAATTAGTAAAAAAAATATCTAAAAAATTATACATTTTAATAAAATTAAAATTATATTAAATATATTACATTTGATTAAAATGTGTAAAAATGATTCAAAAGTGTAAAAATGATTCGAATTAATACGTTTTTTTTTAAAGGAATAAAATAAATAAATATTAGACTATATGAGCCTCTAAATAAAACTCAGCTCCATATTTGCACTATATCAGACTAAAAGTCTGATGGATCTAATATGATACTGAACATATGTCAGGCTTTACAGTGTTGAGATGGAGAGATTATTCCCTGTAATCAGTTGTTCAATTGTTCTCGTTCTGCAGACGACAATCATTTGGGACGCACACACAGGCGAAGCCAAACAGCAGTTCCCCTTTCATTCTGGTGAGTTCACGACCTCTGCGTATAGGTCAGATATCAAAGATGTCATGCGTTGTATTTTAATGATTCCGATTTCGATTCTGCTTATCAATTCCTAACATCGTTTCCAATAAGGTAATAAAAAAAACGTAGATATTCACATTTAGTCTTATTGCAAAACATTTAATTTTTGCTGAATATCATGAACAAAACACTTACACAACTGTGGTTTAAAAATACCATAGAAAAATAACTAGCCTAACTAATATACATTACAAGCATTGTTAAAGACAAGTAAACACTCAGTAATTCAAAAGCCGACTGTGTGATAAAACACATAACATAATAAAGCATCTTTGGTGTTTCCCGCAGCGCCGGCGCTGGACGTGGACTGGCAGAATAACACCACGTTCGCCTCGTGCAGTACGGACATGTGCATACACGTGTGTCGACTCGGGAGCGAGCGTCCACTCAAGACCTTTCAAGGACACACGGTGAGCAGGCGAGATGTTCGCCTTCTCAAACATCTAATTAAACATAATCTATAACAAATTCAACAGTTTTTTTTTATATTTGAGAAACAAAATCAGTGACGTGTCTCTTTTCTTTGGCTGTAGATCCAATTCAAGGGCATAACATGAGTCATTGGCCTTTATTTTTGTTATTTGTTTTAATTTTAGTTTGTTTTTGTTTTTTAATTAATTTTGGGATAATTTTAGGATATTTAGGTTTATTTCACATTTAGTTTCTTTTAATTTAGTATTAGTTTTTATTTTTTAAATATTTTTATAGAATTTCCAGTTTGTAATTTCAGCGCTTCAACTTATTTCGGTTATTTGCAAAGGCAACATTTCTAACTTTCTTTAATTGTATTTTTCATTTATTTTAGGTTATTTAGATTTAATTCGTTTTTATATAACATTTAGTTTTTATTCAGTTTTATTAATTTTCAGTTAATAATTTTAGTTCAACTATTTCAGTTACATTTCCAATTTGAATGTAGTTGAACTTCTACAGCTATCTTTTACATTTCTGAAATGCAGAACTTAGACCGTTTCCTCTGATTACAGATCATGATCACATGGACTAAGGCATTTTCTGTTAAGATGCTTTGAAATGCAGTGTATTGTGAAAGACGCTACACAAATAAATGTGAATTGAGTTTAGTTGAATCTTAGTTTTTAATAATTTAATAATACGTCATTAAAATCAAAGGTTGTGTTGTTAACATTAGTTAAAGCACCGTGAACTAACATGAACACACAATGAACAGCTGTATTTTTATTAACTAACATTAACAAATATGAATAAATACTGTAACAAATGTATCGCTCATTGTTAGTTCATGTTCGTAAATACATTAATGATCTTTCTGTAAAGTGTTTCCGAGTTTAACTATCCTTGAGCTTAACATACTAGGTGAACTCAGTGTTTGTTTGCTTTCAGAACGAAGTGAACGCCATTAAATGGGATCCGTCGGGAATGTTGCTGGCTTCGTGTTCGGATGACATGACGCTAAAGGTGGGAATTATTTGGCGTTTTCTGCTAATATTCCCTCACGTTTTGTAACAAATCCTTCCCTCGAGGGTCAAATGACCCGCAGGCCTACAATTATACTTTTTTTAATTATTTAATTATTTTTTAATTTAATTTAATTATTATTTAATTATTATAAATAATTATATATATATTATTATACTAGTTTATTTCATTTTGATATTTTTTTATTTTTTATTTTTTAATTTTATTTCCCATAATATTTACCTTCAAATTACTAGATTTAATCAATAAATAATAAATAATAGTACAATTTAAGCACATTTCTCAATTCATACATCTTTAGTCTTTGTCGACCTCTTGTGGAAAAATAGTAATATTACATGATATCACATGACTCTTTGCCACTGGATGGCCTTCAGTGTGCATTCAGATACACATGTAGACACTATAAAATATTTTTTGGTAAAGTTTTAAGAAAAGTTTTTTTCTACGTGTTCTGAAGCATTCCATTCATACTATGGGGATCAAATTGACCCGATTAGGATCCATTTTTTGTGTGTGTTCATGCTTCAAGTGCGAAAAAAGTCCTATGAACACTCAATATTTTTTAATTAAAAAAATAAAATAAAAATTCCGGATCAGAATGACCCGAGGGAAGGATGAGGGTTAAATATTTAGTTTTATCTACAAACTCTGATTAGGGAGAATATACCTTTTTTATTAGTTATGATGAAATATTAAATATGATCAAATTTAGACTGTACTGACACGTTTCTCTCGCGGCAGATCTGGAGCATGAAGCATGATTCATGTGTTCACAACCTTCAAGCGCACAGTAAAGAGATCTACACCATCAAATGGAGCCCCGCGAGCAGCAGTCCCAACGCTAGCCTCCTGCTAGCCAGGTAATAGCATTAAAAAAAGCTAATATTTCAGTGCGCGTCTCAGAAACCATGGCGTTCTATAGCAACAGGAGCTTCTAACGGAGCTGCAGCGACGTAATGACATCATCAATCAGTGATTGGCTCTTTTATTTAGAAGGTGGGGCTTATACCGCCAAATTGCGCGTTGCACTTCCTCCCATTCATAGTGATATGAGTGTGTCGTAGAAGTTAGGAAAAGTGTAAGAAATAAATACATGATTAAAATAATAAATAAACAAAACATTCACTTATACTGTTTGTAATCAATTAGATTAGATACAATTATATTTATGTAGATTAAATAGTAAATATAATCAAATAAATGTAAAAAGTATTTGAATAAATTATGTTTAAATAAACTAAAATATTGAATTGAATATTGGATTACAATAAATAAAAAATGTTTTAAATATATTAAATAAGATTTAAATAAGTGTAAAAAATTATTCAAATAAATGAGATCAAAATAAAAATAAACACACAATTGTATTATATGTATTCTAAAATAAAAAATATTCAAATAAATTGAAAATGATTAAAATATATTAAAATAAATGTAATCCCCCCCCCCAATAAATTAGATTAAAGTAAATACATTGTGGATTACAATAGATAAAAATTTGAAGAAATATAGTAAATTAGATTAAAATAAGTGTAAATATTATTCAAATAAATTAAAGTAAATAGATCTTACCATGAATAAAAATAGATGATATGTGTATTAAACTAAATAGCCAATCAATAAAAATGAAATATTTTTGTTGAATTATATTAAATTAGATTAAAATAAATAAACAAGTCAATAAATAAAAATTAGATTCAAATAAATGTAGCGTTTTTTTAGAGTATAAATTGGTTGTTTTATACAAGAAACTATGGCCGATTGTTTCTGCCAGATTATAAAAAAAAGTAACTAAAGCGACTTTTTATTTCACAATTCTTATATAATAAAAGTAGTTTTCCACAGAATTGGACTTTATAACACAATTCTGAAGAAAAAAATGTCAGAATTGTGAAATAAAAAGTAGCTTTTGTTACTTTAAAAAAAAAATGAATCTGCAATTGCAAGATAGAAAGTCGCAATTATCTTTTAACATGTTTTTATTGTGTGCTGTAAACAAGCTTACATAAGAAACTGTAGATGCCTCACACGAGGATGATCATATTTAAAAACCCCTGGTCCAAACAAACGTGTGTGTGTGTGTTCCTCAGTGCCTCTTTCGACTCGACGGTGCGGTTATGGGATGTGGATCGAGGCGAATGCATCCACACACTCACCAAACACCAGGAGCCGGTGTACAGCGTGGCCTTCAGTCCCGACGGAAAGTTCCTGGCCAGCGGATCCTTCGACAAATGCGTTCACATCTGGGACACGCTGGTCAGTGCCACAGTGCCGCCGCAGGGCATTAAAGAGCATTCAATGGATTTTTGAGAAAATTAAGGCTTTAAATGGCATTAAAAAGCTTTTAAATTTTATATTATCAATTTTCTTTAACGTAATCGGATTACTTTTTCAAGTAACTAGTAATGTAACGTGTGTGTGTATTGTAGTTCTAGACTAAATGTGAGCATTTACTCATCTCACTTGCACAAAAAAGATTCAGTAATCCTCAAAATGAATGAAATCAGTGAAATCCAGAATCTGAATACTCTGCAAACCTCCAATAACTAAATATGTCAAATAAAACATACATTTTTATGCATTTAATCTCACTTTAATGATTCACTTAAAGCATGAGCAAAAATTACTATAGATTTTTTGTTTTTATTGGTGAATTAAGTAACGCAATTAGTTACTTTTTAGGGGAGTAACAGAATATTGTAATACATTACTTACAAAGTAACTTTCGCCAATACTTTATTATAACCCATGGTGATGAAGATGATGATGATGATGAACGTGTCTCTTCAGAGCGGTGCGCTGGTGAACAGCTACAGGGGAACCGGAGGAATATTCGAGGTTTGCTGGAACAGTCTGGGAGATAAAGTCGGAGCGAGCGGGTCCGATGGATCGGTACGTTCGCCTTCTCAAAACATCTAATTAAACAATCTATAACGAATTCAAAGTTTTTTAATATCGTGAGAAACAAATTCAGTCACGTGTCTCTTTTCTTTGTAGTCAGTCACTTTTGGCTGTAGATCCAATTCAAGGGCATGAGTCATTGGCCTTTATTTTTGTTATTTGTTTTAATTTAGTTTGTTTTTTTTTAATTAATTTTGGGATAATTTTAGGATATTTAGGTTTAATTTATTTTTATTTCACATTTAGTTTCTTTTAATTTAGTATTAGTTTTTTTTATTTTTATATATTTTTATATAATTTCCAGTTTGTAATTTCAGTGCTTCAACTTATTTCGGTTATTTGCAAAGGCAACATTTCTAACTTTCTTTAATTTTATTTTTTCATTTATTTTAGGTTATTTAGATTTATTTAAGTTCTTTTTATATCACATTTAGTTTTAATTCAGTTTTATTAATTTTCAGTTAATAATTTTAGTTCAACAGTTACATTTCCAATTTTAATGTAGTTTAACTTCTGATTCAGCTATATTTCAATAAGCAGAACATTAAATGTTTTAATAGTTGTAGTGTTAATTACTGATATTAACCCAATAAACCCCATCTTGTTTTTCCAGGTCTGTGTTCTTGATTTACGGAAATAGCGTTTGCTGGATCCCGGAAGCAGGATTGTGCAGGTAAAGCCTTCAGCGCGTCTGAACTCGTTTCTTCCGTGGAGCCGGTCGATTGAGATCCGGGAACAGAATCTGATTGTTGAAAACCAAATTGGAGGGAAACGTCCACTAGAGACGGTCAGCGAACAGCTGGTGCTGTCGATCGACGTGGAAGAGCTGGAGACGTGTCTTGTGAGAGGTTTCATCGCATGTTTTTGTCACGCATCAGTATCGCTGAGCGCCGCTGATGTTCGATGGGCTTTTTTACTGCGGAAAACAGATTTTTAACAACCTTTAATTCAAGACGAGGCTTCACGTGTAAAAGAATCTGATTGTTTTCCAACTTTAACTTGTAATACCGAGGTGAATGAAGACGCCAAGTACTTGGGAAAATATTATATGAATATGTTTGATTCTCAGATATTAAATATACAGGTGTATAATTTCCCCGCTGGATGTACATTTAATGATTGTAAAGATGTAAATGAGACCACAGATTTTATAAACTGTGTTTATATGTTTATAAAGTAATCAATCTTTCATACTTTAAGTTTTTTTTCTGATTTTGTTGACGTCATGCCTGCTGGATCGGCAGCAAACGCGTTATCATATGATTGTGATGCATGTTATCAGGATACGTGCCTCAAAATCGTTATCGTAAGGTGGTGAAGTGCATTCTGGGACGTGTTTTTGTGTTAGTGCAGGTCTTCATGCTTGTATGCATCAACGTTGTGTCCGAATCGGGTGCGATGTGATAAAACAAGTAATAAAAAAAATTGTCTTTTTTTATTGTTGATTGGTTTCTTTTCTGTGGTGTTGTGCTGGGAAGCTCCGCCCACCGTGAAATATCATTGGTTCAAAATCCTAGTTTACATGAAACAAAGGTGTTTTGATTGATTTTGAATGAGTCGATGTACGATCTATACTAAGGAATTACAAATAGACGATAGGATTAACAGAACATAATAAAAATAAAGAAATAAAGTCAAAAAATTAAAGTTGAGTGAATAAAAACCTTTCCTTCTAAACCTGAACATGTAAAGTGTCAATCACAAATGTTTTTACCAATGAGGTTTCACCGTGGGCGGGGCTACTCGCATCACTGCAGAAATACAAACCAACCAAAACCAACCGTCAAAATTCAAACTCGGATTCACACCGACATGGATGAGAAGGTAAAAGACGCTTTTTCTTATGACATGAGCGGCAAAAATGTCAACCGTTTATCTAAATAAACCCTAGACGATCAATTTATCTCGCATGTCGTCTGATTTGGACACATGATGCAGCAGAAACATGATTGTTTGTCAGGATGATCTCTGTGTGTTTGAGCGGTCACGCGCGTCATTATCCCCTCAGGGACTGGGGATCGGTTACGCGAGTCCTGCTGTTAACTTTTAAAACTGTGATTGGCGCCTTTTTTAACCGCCATTGCGGGTTTAATTTCGTAGCCTACTGCGTTTGACAATGTAAGACGGACGTTTCTTTTTTATTATTTCAATAAAATCAAGTCTAGTTTGAGGAATTTATTTGAGATGCATCAAAATCATCGCGTTTCTGCATGACGCGGGTTTCCTCGGTTCAGCGGAAGCGGAAGCCCTTATTGTCTGTGTCAGACTGTAATCTTGGTTCGTCGAGATCATGTTTTGACGTGTATCTGCTAACTATAAAGTTTAACTCTGTTTCGTGGACAAAACTGTATCTCAATGTCTCGCATTCAGAGGCTCAAATAAATCACTCTATTTTGATATTACGAACAGTCGTGTTTGATTCATTCATATTGCATGCTATGACTTAAGTATGCTAATTATTATTTTTTTCACCTGAAGCAGCACAACAGTTTCAACACTGGTAATAATCATAAATGTTTGTTGATCATCAGATCCTCATATTAGTGATTTATGAAGGGTCATGTGACACTGAAGACTGGAGTAATGATGCTAAAAATCATAGGAATAAATTACACTTTACTGTATATTCACGTAGAAAACAGATTTACACTAGAGTAATATTTCAGAATTTTTCATTTAATATTGATTAAATAAATGCAGCTTTGTTAATCAGAAGAAACTTAATTGTAATCATATTTATTATGAACTTTTGTCCACTAGTTTATTATGGTGTTTTTGCCAAAGAGTTAAATTATTTGTATGAAAACATTACTGCTTAAATTAAAATTTTCTCTAAACAATGATTTTGTAGTTTCACTATTCAGGAAGTCAAATATAACAATAAAAAAAACGTTCTTTAATGACAGTTTAAATGAAGAATAATTTAATGAAATATAAAATGAGTAAAACATAAGCCACAAGTGTGCTGGGAAATACTGTATTTTTACAGTGAAATCCTTAAAACAGTGCATTTTTATTACAAAAAAAGCCTGTTTGCAAACATTGACACTCAGAATCAAATCAAAGTTTCATGGATATTGTGAATGATAGTCTTCGGCAGTGATTGTCCAGAGAATCATTGGCATGAATAGATTGTAGAAATGCTTGTAGACTCAGTTCTGTTGGGATGAAGCGTATGAAAGCGTTCAGCGTGTGGAAATCTCCAGAGACGCTCCGTTGGGCTTTACGTCCTCAGACTCTCGCTGTTCGCTGGATATCTGGATTTCTACTGTACTAGACTCTGAATCTATGAGATAAGATGGAGAAGACTAGTTAATGTCATCCCTGATGTTGGAATATTAGAATTACATTTACACCAGTGTCCAAAACTGACATCACCCTTTATTCAAATATTATTATAGATTCAGTTTTATTCGTGATAATAATGAAATGAAATGTGATGAACTGTGCAACATAATTTTAGTCCAGGCAAATAAATTATGAACACATGCAAGAGAATCAACCAAATATTAATAACTGATTGTTTGTGGATTGGTGTAGTCAAAAGTACCGACTTCGGTAACAAAATTTTAAAAATTAAATTAAAATATTTCAGTGCAATCGTAAACACCTCTGATTGGTTATTGTGCTCACGCGTTAATCAAATATGTCTATGATTGGCTACGATGATCAGCGCTCCAAAAACATGTAAATATACATCGATGACGCTCTTCAGCGAGCGCTTACACAGACACAAACGCGAGCGTTCGCATACAGGTGGTTGCTTGTGCTTTTTAAGGCCCTGTTTACATGAGAATGCTCGCGGGTGAAAACGTAAAAATATTTTATCGGATGTGCCTTTCGTTTACACGGCGACGGCGTTTTTGAGGCTTAAAAACGCAAAGAAGTGAAACCACCCTCCAGAGTGGAAATCTTTAAAACGCTCCACCGCCGCGTTCCCGTGTAAACGGTAAAAACGCAAAAGTCTGCTTGACCGCGAAGGTTGTACGCAGGCGCGTGGACTTGGTGTTGTTGTAGTATGCACTCCTAGCCGCCTGGACAGCATACTACATTGAATTTCACACGCTTTTGCGTCACCATTTGCACGCGGATTTCCCAAACAAAACGCTCGTCTAAACGCAGAATAAAAAGCGATGACGCAACGCCACTTTTGCGTTTTCTCTTCAGAATTGTTTCCGTGTAAACATAGCCTTAAGTTCCCGCTCCTGTTTTTTAAAACACTTCCGTGTGCGTTGATAGCAGTAGCCAATCACAGACATATCCGGTCAGCTCTTGAACACAACGGCCAATCAGAGGTGTTTCGAACTTTTCACAACACTAATCCGTGACGAATGTTGGTGATTTGTGGACTTCTGTAACTCGTTCTTTCATGGCAGTTTCTCCTGCCTCCCGTCAGCGCTGTTGGTTTGATCTTGCTTGGTACCTTCGGAGGGTACGCTAATGGCGTCTGACGTCTGCTGTCCGTTAGCGCTCAGGCTCTTCTTGATCTCCTGAATGTGAGTCTGGTAGATCAGTGTCGTTCCCACCGTCGGTGTGTATCCGCACGCCGCAGACGTGGAAGCCGAATCCCACGCCAGCTCGCGCCGTCGCTGCCGACTGAAGTCCAGGTCCAAACCCGTCCAGCCGTGGAACGCCAGCGTGTTCAAGAAGCCCTGCATCGGGTTCAGGATCCCCTGAGGACACACACACATGTCACAACACATAACGGCGCTTGTTCACTTGCATTGAAGTAATAGTGAATATTAAAAAGCATTTGGTGAACAGAAAATACATTATTTTCCAATATCCGACATGTTCTGTGTGCTGTACTGGGGTGCGTTTCCCGAAAGCATCGTTAGCCAACTATGGACGCAAGTTGGTCGCAATTTCCATTGAACTCTATTGGCAACGACGGAACTTGCGGCCATAGTTGGCTAACGATGCTTCGGGAAACGCACCCCAGATCTGTCCACGTATTTTTTTAACGCGTATTTTTGGTTGTTAAAACCAAACTTTTGAACCTTGTGTTGGTTGGTCCGATTGATTGTGCGATTGATTTTCGAACGTAAAGTGACAGCGCCAGCAGTAACTCTGAAGTTGGAGCTAGTTCAGTCCCTTAAGCCTAAAACCATTCCAGTTCAGGAATTGATTGGTCTCTGATGTCGTCCTCACCATGATGAACCACGTGATGAGCGCGGCGTTGCGAACGTTCTTCAGATCAACGGCTTTAATATCGTCCTGCATCTCCAGATAGAACAGCAGACTCTCGTTGATGATGTTGGGCAGCCAGCTGATGAAGACCACACGACACACATTACTATAAGTGCATATGTACATAGGGAACAGTCAAATAGCACAAATATGTTCTTCCTCAGTATTTCTGTCTGGCTTTCCAGTGCAAAATCTAAAAATTCAGCAAAAACTCATTTAATTTTGATGATTATCCCCCCGATAAATAAGACTTAACCCTTTCCCCGCCACTGACGTAATTTTCCTTCGATCCGTGTTTCGGCTGTTATACGCTAGGGGGCGCTATAACACATCATCTGAAGACTACAGAATCAGCTTTTCTCAGCTTTTTACGAATTAAAAAATTATGCTTTTTTTAATGAAACTTACCCACATTCAAGTGTTGATTTAAAAATGTGTATTAGATGAATTAAGCTTGTGACACATTATTACAGTATGTTCTGCAGTGTGTTGAGGAGGAGGAATATTGTCTTTGCTCCATGAATCTGAATCTCACCAGATGACAAACACCAGCATGATCTTAAAGAACCGTATTTTGATCTCGGATCCGAGTCGTCTCTCGTTCTCGGTGTAGATTCCCTGCTGGCCCTTGAGCAGCGACGTCACTGCAAGAAAACACCAGATTCTCTCTAATAAAGTCATGAATAGGGATGCACGATAAATCATCTACCATTTTGGTATATGTTCATTTTTAATGTTATCGTTATCGGACCAATAAGAAAATGTGTCTGATATATTAAAGCCGATAAATAATGTATTATTTCCTTCAGCTGAGACTCATCAGTGCAACTTTTCAATATGATTGGAATCACAAAAAGAAGGAAAAATACTTCATTGCAACACAAGTCTCATATCGGCTACATAAAATTATAATGACAACATTATAATTATGTGTTTAGGACGTGGCTTTTAATGTTGAGGCTTTTGTTTTTGTAATCAGGCTCTCAAAAATTATATATAAATTTGGATTTAGATTTATCGGCCGATATATCGGTTATCAAATATAAAGAATTATCGGTTATCGGTGCATCCCTAGTCATGAATTAACTGAACTGAAGATATTTTTACACTAAAACAATTCGCAAAACATTATAGGTTGATTATTTAATATAACATGACCTAACAATGGACAATACTAATACAGAATTCGTTAAAGGAGTAGTTCACTTCAGAATGAAAACTTCCTGATAATTTACTCGCCCCCATGTCATCCAAGATGTCCGTGTCTTTCTTTCTTCAGTCGAAAAGAAATTAAGGTTTTTGATGAAAACATTCCAGGATTTTCTCCATATAATGGACTTCAATGGGGTCCAAATGAGAGTTTCAGTGCAAACTGTTCAAAGGGCTTTAAACGATTCTAGACGATGAATAAGGGTCTTATCAAGCGAAACAATCGGTCAATAAATTAAAAAAAAAGTATGTTATAGGACGAAAAAACAAAACAAAATGACCCAAAAAAAGATTCGTTCATTTTGATGAATGAGTTCGAACAGGAGAGTCATGAACGTGCATCACAGAACAGAGCAAGGCGAGCGTTTGAGCTTATAAAACTTAAACTTTGTTATTTATTTATTAAATGAGCGATCGTTTCGTAAAGGCCTTCTGAAGCGAAGCCATCCGTTCATGAAAGAAAAATATTATAAACTAAGGCCGGAAGCTACTTATTTTACTTAATAATTAAATTTTAAATATTTTTCTTATACAACTTTTAGCTTCAGAAGGTCATGACAGATGCACGTTTAAGAGCTTCAATCTGTTGGTTGCGACCCACTGCCATTATAAAGTTTGGAAGAGGCAAGACATTTATTAATATAACTGATTGTAGAGTGTCATGTAAATCATGGGCTAATGTTCATTTGAAAGTGAGCGACCCCTTTAAAGGCTTGCTGAGATTAGCACTCACCGGCTGAGACGGTCCGAGCGAACAGCACTGGGTTGACGGCGAGCACCAGGAGCATCGGTGCGTATGTGGTGACGTAGTGCGGGACGGCGTGCTGAAGGCCATTCTCACAGCTCATATGACACACACACACAGTGCAGAAATGGCTCACATCACACTCACGCATGCAATGTAAACGTTATCAGTTCATGCACTGACTAAGAATCCAACCCATGACTTTAGTGTCACGATTACTAGTTCACATCATTTACTCTCCGTCATCCAAGATGTTCGTGTGTTTCTTTCTCCGGTCGAAAAGAAATGAAGGTTTTTGAGGAACACATTCCAGGATTTCTCCATATAATGGACTTCAATGGGGTCCAAACGGGTCGAAGGTCCAGATGTGAGTTTCAAAGTCTCGACACGATCCAGCCGAGGAAAAAGAGTCTGATCTTTACAACAAAACACACATTTATATACTTTAACCACTAATGCTGGTCTTGCTCTCGCTGTGATGCGACACACATTACGAGATCAGGGTGAAAGGTCAAGCGGGACGTAGGCGTAAGAACAGATCTAGTGTTTACAAAGCGAACGTGCAAAGACTGAGACAAACGCCATTTACTAAATTATAAATAAAAAAAACGTAAAACAACGATGTTAGACGATTTTGAACTGAAAGTTTTGACCTTTCACCCTGATCTCGTAATGTGTGTCGCATCACAGCGAGAGCAAGACCAGCATTAGTGGTTAAAGTATATAAATGTGTGTTTTGTTGTAAAGATCAGACTCTTATTCCTCGGCTGGATCGTGTCGAGACTTTGAAACTCACATCTGGACCTTCGACCCGTTTGGACCCCATTGAAGTCCATTATATGGAGAAACCCTGGAGTGTGTTCTTAATTTCTTTTCGACTGAAGAAAGAAGGACATGAACATCTTGGATGACGGAGAGTAAATTATCAGGAAGTTTTAATTCTGAAGTGAACTCGTGTAAAATTGACACACTGGCCCTTTAAGTGTGTGTTATGGTCACCTGGAGATGGAGGGGTAGTAGAGCATTGCCACGCCCTCAACACACAGCAGAAGCGTCAGACCCCACGTGATCATGTGATACAGGACGATGGTGCTACGACAGAGACACGCGTCAGTCAGTCACACTAACATCTGCTCTAGCGTTTACACGAACACGATGCATGATGGGACACACACACCTAATGCCAGCCGATCTCTTGACCACTAGGAAAACGTCCACCGCGTAACAGAACGTCCACCAGAAGGAGGCGCTGTAGAACAGCTGGATCCACATCTGGAGTCGACACACATCCACATCCAGCGTTTACATTATTAAACAAGTATCATTTGCTGCATATTCTTAAAATCAAAGATAATACGTTTTTTTTATTATTATTAATATGCATTTAAAGCTTATTTGATAGAAAAAAAATGTCAGTTCGAATAGACAGAAAGGATATGATTTAAAATAAACTAGCAAAATATGTGTTTTTTTATTAATTAATGTTAAGGCCTTAATTTGTTCATTATAAGTGTCATCTGTGATATTAATGTGCCTATAATAAATAGTTTTGCTGGGTTTCTTTCTATTTTTCATCCCGTTTTCCCTTTTGACACCATTGGCAGATATTATTTCTTGTTTTAATTACAAACTTACAATTTAGTTTTTATTTCTTGTTTATATTTATATATTTTTTTATTTATATATTTATTTTAATCTTGTTTTCCCTTAGAATTACATTTATTTTTCTGATCCCACTGGCAGATATGTATTATTGTTCTAAGAATAAACTCACTATTTAGTTATTATTCTCTTTTTTTATTATTCTTTTTTATTTGAGCATTTATACATGCATTCTTTTTAATTTTGTTGTCCTTCTGAATTACATTTATTTTTTCTGACCCAGTTAAACTTGTTTATTTATTTATTTATGGAAGTTATATATATATATATATATATATATATATATGTGTGTGTGTGTGTGTGTTACTCTTATTGTTAAAAAAGATATGAGAGGTCACTTCTAATATGATTAAACTTTATTTTATGCATGTACGGATAACTGCAGATTGACCCGTCTCAGTGATTAAAGTGCACATGAGAGGTCATCTATAAAGGTCATCTGTAGGGTCTGTAGACTCACCGCACTGCCGACACAGAACACCTCTGGCCAGACGTCGGTCCCGTTCCCGTCGGAGATGCGGTCGACGAGGTCGGGGAGGCCGAGCCAGATCGACGAGCGCACGATGATTCCTGCACAAATCCACTATTACAAATCACTCAGTCTTTGATGAGCATTTACAGTAGAGGATCGTAAAACATGAAAATACTGTTTGTAGAATCTGTCGAATCGAATTGGGAATCGAAATTGCAATTGAAATCGAATTGGAACATCTGAATGGATAGCCGGTCCTATAGTGTTTTACTGATCAGATAAAGCGTCGGAAAACGTTACTTTATTATGAAGATTGGTTTCTTGCTGGAGTTTAAAGGAAGTTTACCGTGACCGTGAGTATTAAACACACCGAACGCATGCAGTGGTGTGTGTAACTGATGAAGGCTAGAGAAAGAGTGTGTCGTGAGTCAACGGTTCCTCGTGTTCCTGACACTGAATGAACTCAATGTCCTCGGATAGAAACCGTGAAATAAACTTGAGCTGGAAATAGCTTGTGGTTTTGCACTCATAAAGAGTCTCGAAGAACATGCAGAACTTTACTGTAACAACATTATTATATAATTATATATTATATATAACATGAATTTGGCCATTTGAGGATCAGTGACGGACAGTCGGACACATGTAGCTCATATATATATATATAGCAGTTCTCTTTCTAATGAAGCAATACATGTGCAAAACTGTAAATCAAACTGTAAACCGTGTACATATTAATTCATTATTATGAACAAATAGAATAATGCTTTAATTGATGCAAATCAGCTTTACGGCAAAATCCAGTTCATAAACATTTAAACAGATTATTTGTCTGAATGAATGTCTACAATCTTACAAAAGTAAAACGCTTATGAAACAAACAGACTGACCCAAATCTTGTGTGTCAAATCGTGTGTGTGTGTGTGTGTGTGAGAGAGAGAGAGAGAGAGAGTTTGCCTAAATTTCCTTATTTCGATTTTGGTGTGAAAGGGTAAAAAAATCACTTTTTTTGTTAAAAAACGCTCAGACCGGGTGAGAAAAAGTAACGCAAAAGTAACGTAACACTTTTCTTAAAAAGTACCATAAAGTAATAACGCAATTAGGTACTTTTTAAGGGAGTAAAGCAATATTGAAATGTAAACTTTTCAAAGTAACTTTCCCCAACTCTGCTCACAAGTATAGCTTAACGTGTGTGTGTGTGTGTGTGTGTGTGTGTGTGTGTGTGTGTGTGTGTGTGTTACCTGAGCATCCTAAGATATCACACACGCTGATGATGAGCAGAATCCTGAGGGACGAGGCGGGTTTGGGACGCGGAGACCGGAAGCTGCTCCGCTTCGGCAGGATCTGCAACACGCAGAAGAAGAAGCTCAGGCTCGCGCTGCACGCGCACATCGCGGTGAAGAGCCGCGGCGCGAAGCTGATGACGAACTCGGTGGCGGGATCGCGGTTCGGGCAGCAGAAGGTCTCGAGCCGCGGGGACGCCATGGCGATGACGAGGAGGAAGGAGAGCGCGGTGAGGATGATGACGAGAAGGAGGAGAAAGCGCGCGAAGAGGATGATGATGATGAAGAAGCTCAGTCATCTCTCTGGCCTGAGGATCACGAGCTCCACCATCATGTGCTCCGGGTTAATCTGACTGAACAACAGCTCGAGTTACAATAAAGCTCCCACTCGAGGCTCTCAGGGTGTGTGTGTGTGTGTGTGTGTGTGTGGTCATGCGTCCGTCTGATATAACTTTATAAAGCATAAATATTGTTTTCTTTATTTTACTGTACTTGACTGTTAAACACACACACACACACAGAATGTGTTGACACGAGCTGTCTGTCACACACTTTTCTATCACAAAACTTCCGCTCTCTATTTATCTCACACACACACTCTGGCCGTCCACACGAAGCCAGAGCTTCCCCTGCCCTATCCGATATTTTTTTTCCTCGTTCTGAGTTTTCGCCGAGAAATTTGCGTTTTTCGCTTCCGGAGGGGCTTTGGGGGCCAGTATCTCAGGGCCCACTGGGGGTGGTCTCTTTCGAAAGGACTCGGCCCGTTCTCCACTCGATACAAATTTGGCGTCGAAACGTTGATTTTTCGCCGAGATATTTGCGATTTTCTCCCGAGCTCGTGGCGCCATTTCAGAGCGCGGCCGACGGGTTTCGGCTAATAATATCTCCGCGAATACTCCACCAAAAATGACGAAACGCATATGGTTTTGTTCAGTTTGGCGAGACGGTTCGAAGGAGCCCGGATCTCCGACGGATACATTGATTTTTCGCCGAGATATTTGCGTTTTTCGCTTCCAGAGGGGATTTAGGGGCCAGTATCTCGGGGCCCACTGGTCTCTTTCGAAAGGACTCGGCCCGTTCTCCACTCGATACAAATTTGGCGTCGAAACGTTGACGTTTCGCCGAGATATTTGCGATTTTCTCACGAGGTCGCGCCATTTCAGAGCGCGGCCGACGGTTTTCGGCTAATATCTCCGCGAATACTCCACCAAAAATGACGAAACGCATATGGTTTTGTTCAGTTTGGCGAGACGGTTCTAAGGAGCCCGACGGTATCTCCGACGGATACATTGGTTTTTCGCCGAGATATTTGCGTTTTTCGCTTCCAGAGGGGATTTGGGGGCCAGTATCTCGGGGCCCACTGGGGGTGGTCTCTTTCGAAAGGACTCGGCCCGTTCTCCACTCGATACAAATTTGGCGTCGAAACGTTGATTTTTCGCCGAGATATTTGCGATTTTCTCCCGAGCTCGTGGCGCCATTTCAGAGCGCGGCCGACGGTTTTCGGCTAATATCTCCGCGAATACTCCACCAAAAATGACGAAACGCATATGGTTTTGTTCAGTTTGGCGAGACGGTTCGAAGGAGCCCGGATCTCCAACGGATACATTGATTTTTTACCGAGATATTTGCGTTTTTCGCTTCCAGAGGGGATTTGGGGGCCAGTATCTCGGGGCCCACTGGTCTCTTTCGAAAGGACTCGGCCCGTTCTCCACTCGATACAAATTTGGCGTCGAAACGTTGACGTTTCGCCGAGATATTTGCGATTTTCTCACGAGGTCGTGGCGCCATTTCAGAGCGCGGCCGACGGTTTTCGGCTAATATCTCCGCGAATACTCCACCAAAAATGACGAAACGCATATGGTTTTGTTCAGTTTGGCGAGACGGTTCGAAGGAGCCCGACGGTATCTCCGACGGATACATTGGTTTTTCGCCGAGATATTTGCGTTTTTCGCTTCCAGAGGGGATTTGGGGGCCAGTATCTCGGGGCCCACTGGGGGTGGTCTCTTTTGAAAGGACTCGGCCCGTTCTCCACTCGATACAAATTTGGCGTCGAAACGTTGATTTTTCGCCGAGATATTTGCGATTTTCTCCCGAGCTCGTGGCGCCATTTCAGAGCGCGGCCGACGGTTTTCGGCTAATATCTCCGCGAATACTCCACCAAAAATGACGAATCGCATATGGTTTTGTTCAGTTTGGCAAGACGGTTCGAAGGAGCCCGGATCTCCGACGGATAAATTGATTTTTCGCCGAGATATTTGCGTTTTTCGCCTCCAGAGGGGATTTAGGGGCCAGTATCTCGGTGCCCACTGGGGGTGGTCTCTTTCGAAAGGTCTCGGTCCGTTCTCCACTCGATACAAATTTGGCGTCGAAACGTTGACGTTTCGCGGAGATATTTGCGATTTTCTCCCGAGGTCGTGGCGCCATTTCAGAGCGCGGCCGACGGTTTTCGGCTAATATCTCCGCGAATACTCCACCAAAAATGACGAAACGCATATGGTTTTGTTCGGTTCGGTGTTAAACTCAGCTTTGATCACAGGAATAAATTACACTTTACTATATATTCACATAGAAAACAGGTGAGTAATATTTCACAATTTTTACTGTATTTATGATCAAATCAGTGCAGCTTTGTTGAGAAGAAGACTTTACAAAAGAAAATCTTTAGTGTATTCTACACACATGTACACAAAGTGCTTGCTCTGTAATTCTATGATCTAAATTATGTGATGCAGCGCCATCTAGTGGCCATTTAAGCTTTTACATGGTCTCGCTAATGTACTCTATAATTATTAATTAAAACATTTGTGTCTGCTATAATAGCAGTCAACACATCTACTGTTCTTCATCACATGTTCAAATAACAACGCAGTTATGAAAACTCTCTCATCATATCTGAGTTTTTGTCAATATTTCAGCTCTTCTTCTAAACACTATTTTTATTTAATGTTCAGTTTTTAAAGAGTTTTGGCAGAATTAGATCATATTTGTCTATGAAACTAATTTCAAGCAAATACGGAATATAGGGAATTCTGTTGGGAGAGATGTGGACTAAAATAAGTATATAATAATGTATATAAATAAATAAGTTTACTTTTTATTTTAATGCATGAAGTAAAATAAATACAAATAGATTAAAATAAGTAAATAACCAAATAAATATATAAAAATATTAATAAAACCTTTATAAAAAAACTAAAATTTTAAGAAAATTAATAATAATAGATTAAAAGAATTACATACAGTAATTGATAAAAACATTTAAATATTTAAAGTTAATGAAAAATAAATTAAAATTAGTAAAGAAATCGGCACATAAAAATTGTTTAGAAGTAAATATTTTAATAAATAAAATTGGTTAAAACAAGTAAATACATTAATTAATAAAATTAGACAATAAAATAAGTAAATAAATGACTGAGGTAATAAATAAATGGATAAATGACAATATTTAATGATACATTTTTTTTATAAAAACAGCTTAAAATAAGTAAATAAATTAGTAAATAAGTAAAAAAAAGAATGATTCAAAGAAGTAAATACATAAATTAACTAATAGTGATTAAAATAAATAAAAGTTTGAAAAAGTAAATGAATAAATTATTGGATAAATAACAATATCTAACGATTAAAATGAATAAAATAGCTTATAATTAGTAACTAAATTAGTAAATAAATTAGTGAAAATTGAACATTTTTTAAATAAATAAGAACAGATTCAAATAAGTAAATGCATAAATTAATTAATAAAATTAGATAAAAATAAATAAAAGTAGATTGAAAATAAGTAAATAAATGTGAATAAATAATTGGATAAATAACAATATCTAACGATTAAAATGTATTAAAAATTGCTTACAACTAGTAACTAAATTAGTAAATGATTTAAATGAATATTTAATAAATAACAATAGATTGAAATAAGTACTTGCATTATTAGATTAATCTCTCTCTCATATATATATATATATATATATATATATTTAAGGGAATGTGACAGGGGATATTGTGAGTTCCTCCAGGATTTCTGGATATGAAGAGATATTATATTATGAAAGCTTATATGTTTCCTCTCTGTCACAGAGTTGCATTGAGACGTAACACTTAAATACTTTTTCCACATATAAAGACTTTTCCCCACTTACTGTTTTATGGAGAGTAAATATTTATAAAGTGGAGGCTGGAAAAAAGTGCAAGAGATATAGGCCTATAGGTTATCAAAATATTGATAAAGAATTTCAATATTCTCTGCAATAAAAGCCACAAAAAGAGTTTTCCATAGAAGAACCTTTCAATGAACACAGTTTAAAATAGGCTAACTCTTTTTCAAAATGATATTAATAAATAATATAGTCATATAAATTAAAAAAAGATGTATACGTTGTATAAATATGTATACGTACATATTTTTTCTTTTTAATTTTATTTTTAAAATAAGTAATTCATTAACAAAACTGGATTAAAATAAATAAATGTATATTAAAGGTACATAAATTAATGTATTACTATTTACAATAAATAGTAAATAAATCAATCAATAAAATATTTAAATGAAGAAATAAAGAAGTAAAAAAAATTAAGTTATCTAAATATAAATAGAAATCGTCTGTTAATAAGTATTTAATTTGTTTTAATAAGTCAATAAATAAAATAGATTCAAATAAGTATATACCTGAATAAATAAATACATTTTAAAAAGTTTGTTAAAATTAAAAAAACAAAATATGTTATTAAATATATTATTATAGGCTATAAACACATAAAATAAGTAAATAAATAAAAACACATCACAGGTCAGATTGATGCAAATTTACAGAATAAACATTTGCTGGTCAGTGTGAAACACAAATCCTGTACTGTGTTCAACAGAAATTCATATGGGGAGTGATTTATGACAGAGTTTTAAGGCAATTCAGCTTTATTTCTATACATCATGGATTTCTACCACTACAGATTCAAAGCAGAGTCACAGTAATAAACAGGAAAATAACAAAATCAAACTTCATCAAATAAAGCAGATCTAAATTCTACTCTCATCAACTCAATTCAGTTCAGAGTAGATTCAATTCAGATGTTGTAAAATTTGTTGATTACTAAACAAATGAATTTACATTTTACATTTTGATTAAAATAATTGCAAAATGTACAAAAATAAGATGATAAAAATATGTATATAAATAAAAATACTAAAAATAAAAATATTTAAAAACATGAATAAATAAATACAAAAATATTAATAAATAAACAATTTAAATACGATAAAAAACTAAATTAGTAAATAAAAACGTAAAAATAACTAATTAAAAATAGATTCAAATGTGTAAATTGTGATGGTCATTGAGAAAAATGTATAATGCTAGAAATAAAATACATATATAGCCTATATGTAAACAAATGAATTTGAGTCATTGTTCATATGTACTTTACTCATGAAGTGTGTGTTGTATGTACACTGCTGTACAGATGCGATCGCCAGAGGAACCCTGGCCTGGACTTGCCTTCGTCGTGTCGTGTGTGTGTGTCTCCTTTGAGCTTCAGTGCAGGTGTGTGTGCAGAACAATGAGCACACCTGGAGATGAGGGTCACATGACCACAGGTGTGGGCGGGAAACTGCCGCTGAACAAACACAGGTGAGCGTTACAGGAGCGGGTGTGTATACAGTCACACACTCTATAGAACTGAACACACACCGCAGCGAAGAACCCGAACAGTTCAACATTATACCAACGAATAAATACAATATTATATAAATAAATGAAAAAAAAGACCTAAAGAGTAAAAATTTATTTAACTTACATTAAAATAAATAAATAGTTTAAAATAAGTAAATTAATTAATTAATACACTTAGATTAAAAAATAGATTAAAACTAGCAAGTAAACAAATGAATAAATAATTAAGAATAATTAAGTCTAAAAAAGCCTACATAAATGAATAAATACATTTGACATTTTGATTAAAATATATACAAAATATATTAATAAAAATATTCAAAATATAATATTTAAAAATATTAATAAATAAATACAAAAATAAATAAATAAAAAGTAGCCTAAATAAATACGATTTAAAAATGTGTTTAAAATAAGTAACTAAATTCATAGATAAATAAAAATAGATTAAAATACATAAATTGAGATGATCATTGAGATAAATGTAAATACTAACACATTAAACAAATTATATATTTCATTAACTTTTTGAGTTTTACTTCCCAAGTTCTGTCAATTCAAATACATAGGATAAATCAATAGGATAAACTAATTTATATATATATATAAAATAAAAACAGATATTTTCTGTTCTCCGAAGCACAAACTCTTGTATGAAGTATGAGCAGATGATGAGATGTTTTCAGTCTGTGATGTTAATAGTTGCAGCGTTTACACTGTAATTGTTGAGATACGAATGAAAACGGTTCCGTCGGATGAATCCCAGATGCTGGGAAACGAAAGGTCCACCGTCCCGGAGAAGCTTGACGAACACACACACACACACACACACACACACACACACACACACACAGGGTCAAACGTAGACATCAGGGACTCATTTCTGCGTTTCTGGGGTTCAGATATGTGGCACGAGTCTCTCTCAAGCTCATGTGTTCCCAGATGTCGGTTCACCCGATACACACACACACTGCAGGATATTGATGTTCACTCTCAGAAAACAAGGTACAAAAGCTGTCACTGGGGCTGTACCTTTTCAAAATGTAAACTTGTCCATTTTAGGTGCTAATATGTACATTTTAGGTGTTAATGGACATTTTAAGTGTTGATATGTACATTTTAGGTGTTAATATGTACATTTTAGGTACTAATATGTACATTTTAGGAGTTAATATGTACATTTAGGTACTAATATATACATTTTAGGTGTTAATATGTACATTTTAGGTATTAATATGTACATTTTAGGTGTTAATACGTACATTTTAGGTATTAATATGTACATATTAGGTGTTAATACGTACATTTTAGGTGTTAATATGTACATTTTAGGTATTAATATGTACATTTTAGGTACTAATATGTACATTTTATGAGTTAATATGTACATTTTAGGTATTAATATGTACATTTTAGGTGTTAATACGTACATTTTAGGTGCTAATATGTACATTTTAGGTGTTAATATGTACATTTTAGGAGTTAATATGTACATTTTAGGTGCTTATATGTTCATTTTAGGTATTTTATATGTACATTTTAGGAGTTAATATGTAAGACAGATAGATAGATAGATAGATAGATAGATAGATAGATAGATAGATAGATAGATAGATAGATAGATAGATAGATAGATAGATAGATAGATAGATCGATCTCCAACACTCAGATTGTTAGTTCTAATACAGAAATCTGACCGGTTTGATTTATGACACAACTTTACGTTTATTAGTGTTTATGTTAAATCCGTGTAATCCGAACAGATGAACACTTTATATACAGTTCAAATCTTACATTTAGGCCTCAGCATTACTGCAACCGCACACACCGTACACAAGGCACTCACAACACACACCTAAACCACCGCACACCTCGACAACACACACCAACACACACCATAAACCCATGAACACATGGCTGCAATAAGCAACAAATTAAGCCGTTAGAGAAACGCTTAAGACACACACACACACACACACACACACACACACACACACACACAGAGCAGCTGGGAAAGAGGACAGATGTGTGTGTGGTCAGAACGACCTTGGCCTTTCCAGTCTCTCTCTCTTCAATCCAGCACTGAGTGAGTTAGACTGCAGTTCCTCCACTGGCCACTAGAGGCGCTGCAGGACAGAGTCACTCCCATAGACCCGCATGTTAAAACGCCCAACTTTACAGCAGAAATAAACATGTTTACAGTCTGCTGCAAAAACTGGCTTTGGTCTATATCGCTAATGTTGCCCTTCATGACGACTGTGAGGGGGGTGAATATTTTTATAACTCATATCAAGCCTTAAAGTTCTGCTTAATTAAGGGCGTGGCCACTTGAGTGACAGGATGATGTCACTACTAGCCGTTTGTGTGCTGTGTGTTAGCTAATCCGCCTCGCTGCACATGTTTGTTTATCATTATCCGGGAGCGATGCGTCCAAGATGGCGACGGCCGGCTCCGCCCACTTGCTCTTCAGAAACCAGTGTGTTTATTTTACAGTGTATGGGTCCTTCACACTGCTTTCATTAGAGATATGCGGCCCGGGGCGAACAGCTACACCAGGCCAAATCCACCCGTTATGAGTCCCAGTTTCTGTTTAGGAGGCATTCCCATTTTCCCATAAAAACTCATTAGAGGAAAATGCTGCTGCCGTCGAGGAGCTGTTGCTCAAGTCAACTCATAACGTTTTATGAACCCTTCTGGGAACTTTTTCAACTCTGTGCATGCTTATCTCCATTCCGAAGAGCATTTTTTGCTGTAATAACGCTAGACATGCTTGTAAAGTGGAAAGTTTCCACTAGACTGGAGAAGTTTAGCTTGAGCACTCACTCACTTCATCAGGAAAACACTTGATGCATGTGCCAGATGCATGTGTTCACGCGTTTTAGATCATTTCACCAAATTGGAAATGACAATTCAAATATATACTCTTATTATATTCTCTTAATAGATACTTGATACTAAAATAGGCAAATGCAGCTTTATCTATTAAATAATAAATAATGTAATCATTTTCATGCACTTCCAGATCAGAAATCTGAACATCGGATGAAGTCATAATTATGAGATTAAAGTCAAAATTGGCATAGTCCACTTTCTATGTCATAATTACATTAATGCATTGACATAAAACGTGAAAAACTTTAGATAGAGTTGAAATTATAAAATACTAAGTCATAATTATGAGATTTAAAAGTCGATATTATGACACAAGGTAGCTTTCTGTCGTAATTATGGATTTTATTTCATATAGTTGACAAAAGCCGAAAGTATGAGAAAGTTGAAATTATGACATATTAGCTATGTGAAATTTTTTTTTAAAAAGGATGTCATAATTTCAACTTTTCATGTTATGGATTATGGAAGTTATGGAAACAGAACTTTCTGTCATAATTATGATTTGTATGTCATAAAATTGAGATAAAAAGTCAAAATTATGAGATAAAGTTTAAATTAGGATATACTAAATTATAATTATGAGATCAAAAAAAAAATTATTTTGTGTCATAATTATGATTTTTGTCTTATAATTGACATAAAAAGTACAAATTATGAAATATGAAGTCAAAAGTATGACATAGGCCTACTAAGTCATAATTTTGAGATTAAAGTCAAACGTGACATGAGTCAACTTTCTATGTCATAATTCTGAATGTTTTATGTCATAATTGACATAAAAAGTCTAATTTATGAGATAAAGTTGAAGTCATGTATTATAATAAGTCATAGGCCTACTACGTCATAATTATGTCATTTTTAAGTAAAATGATTTTATATCACAATTATGATTTTCCTGTTACAAAAGCATGTTTGAAAACACATATTGTAAAAGCATATTGATATTATAGAAGAGCATAATGAAAAAGCAGAACTTCCCCAATCATCCCATCTGAAGTTCCTCGCGCGCGCCCCCGCGCGCATCTACCTGCGTCTGGAGAGGCGGAGCGCGCGCCGAGCTCCACCAATAGCGCGCGCTCGCTGAGTCTGACTCCGCCCCCTTTCAGCTCGAAACTTTCTTCATCTGCAGCAGCAGGAGCAGGAGGGACACACACACATACACACACACTCACTGACTGCAGGCTTCGATATGCTCGCGCTCACCCTGTGGATTATCGTGTTGTGGAGCTCCGCGTGCGCGGACGCGAGGAAACCCGACGAGTTCTTCAGCGCGAGCGTTTATCGTGCGAGGTGCGCGTCGCGGTGTCTCAGTCTGCACATCACGCGCATTTCTGCAGCTTTCAAGCATTTACAGGTATGGTCAACTATCATTATATCAGGCAGAAGCGTCATCAATACCAGAAATTCCCATACAATTCTATTTATGTCACAATTTCGATTTAGAATGACATCATTTCGATTTAGTATAACTTTTAATTTGTTTACACAACCTTGAAATTTAGATTATTGTTTTTCTGAGTGTTTTGCAGAAGAATTTTTAATTTTTTTACCGATATGTTCTTTTCAATGACCGATAGGCTATATTGCCAAACGGAATGTATCCAGAATTTTTAAATCAAATGAATCAATTATTTTTAATTATTATTATTAATCTTATTGTTATTTTACGCTATTTAAATTGACTTTTAAAACCTAAAACGTAGCCTATAGCTATTGATTGTGACCCTGACTCGATGATGATGGTCATATTGGTCTATCAATATGTCACCTAGAAGTATTACTGTTGTTAACTATTTAATGACAGAAAATGAAATGAACACTAATTTTGCATAAATTCTTATTGCAAAATCACTTATTTTTACTCTAAATTCACAATACTGAGTTTCAGTCATTGGAATATCGGCCATTTAATCTGCTTTATCAGTCCATCTATACTTGATATATGGAATTTATAGGAGTTTTATGGGATGTTGTTGTCTGATTTGATGATTCTGCTGCAGTGAAACCGAGGGTTCCCAGTGAAGGGTTTGTGTTGCTCTTCTGCGGTGGTGTTTGTCAAAGGTCATGATCTAGTGTATTAGTTTCCTACGGTCTCAGCGAAAGCCTCTTCTCCTGCTCCTCTTCCCTCATTGTGTTGAACTGAAGGCACTCTTGAAACTCGTGACACTTGTCATGCAATCAAATCAAGCTGACATCCATGCGCGCTCCCGACGGGTATGATGTTTGAATGAAATGTCGAGCTGTCCAGAACTGCAGCCGTTAATGACGAGGGAACATCTTTCTTAAAGGGATAGTTCACCCTAAAACGAACATTAGCCCATGATTTACTCTCCCTCGAGCCATCCTAGGTGTGTATGACACTCTTATTTCAGACGAATACAATCAGAGTTATATTAATAGATGTCCTGGCTCTTCCAATCTTTATAATGGCATGAATGGTGGTTTCTATTTTGACATGCATAAAAGTGCCTCTATCCATCCCACTATATGCACTTTTATGATGGATAGATGCACTTTTATGATGGATAGATGCACTTTTATGATGGACAGATGCACTTTTATGATGGATAGATGCACTTTTATGATGGATAGATGCACTTTTATGATGGATAGATGCACTTTTATGATGGATAGATGCACTTTTATGATGGACGGATGCACTTTTATGATGGATAGATGCACTTTTATGATGGACAGATGCACTTTTATGATGGACAGATGCACTTTTATGATGGATAGATGCACTTTTATGATGGATAGATGCACTTTTATGATGGACAGATGCACTTTTATGATGGATAGATGCACTTTTATGATGGACAGATGCACTTTTATGATGGATAGATGCACTTTTATGATGGATAGATGCACTTTTATGATGGATAGATGCACTTTTATGATGGATAGATGCACTTTTATGATGGATAGATACACTTTTATGATGGATAGATGAACTTTTATGATGGAGAGATGCACTTTTATGATGGATAGATTAACTTTTATGATGGATAGATGAACTTTTATGATGGACAGATGCACTTTTATGATGGACAGATGCACTTTTATGATGGATAGATGCACTTTTATGATGGACAGATGCACTCTTATGATGGACAGATGCACTTTTATGGTGAATAGATGCACTTTTATGATGGATAGATGCACTTTTATGATGGACAGATGCACTTTTATGATGGACAGATGAACTTTTATGATGGACAGATGCACTTTTATGATGGACAGATGCACTTTTATGATGGATAGATGCACTTTTATGATGGATAGATGCACTTTTATGATGGACAGATGCACTTTTATGATGGACAGATGCACTTTTATGATGGACAGATGAACTTTTATGATGGACAGATGCACTTTTATGATGGACAGATGCACTTTTATGATGGATAGATGCACTTTTATGATGATAGATGCACTTTTATGATGATAGATGCACTTTTATGATGAACAGACGCACTTTTATGATGGACAGACGCACTTTTATGATGGATAGATGCACTTTTATGATGGACAGACGCACTTTTATGATGGATAGATGCACTTTTATGATGGACAGATGCACTTTTATGATGGATAGATGCACTTTTATGATGGACAGATGAACTTTTATGATGGACAGATGCACTTTTATGATGATAGATGCACTTTTATGATGGACAGACGCACTTTTATGATGGACAGACGCACTTTTATGATGGATAGATGCACTTTTATGATGGACAGACGCACTTTTATGATGGATAGATGCACTTTTATGATGGACAGATGCACTTTTATGATGGATAGATGCACTTTTATGATGATAGATGCACTTTTATGATGGACAGACGCACTTTTATGATGGACAGACGCACTTTTATGATGGATAGATGCACTTTTATGATGATAGATGCACTTTTATGATGGATAGATGCACTTTTATGATGGATAGATGCACTTTTATGATGATAGATGCACTTTTATGATGGATAGATGCACTTTTATGATGGATAGATGCACTTTTATGATGGACAGATGCACTTTTATGATGGACAGATGCACTTTTATGATGGACAGATGCACTTTTATGATGGACAGATGCACTTTTATGATGGATAGATGCACTTTTATGATGGACAGATGCACTTTTATGCACTTTTATGATGGATAGATGCACTTTTATGATGGATAGATGCACTTTTATGCACTTTTATGATGGATAGATGCACTTTTATGATGGATAGATGCACTTTTATGCACTTTTATGATGGATAGATGCACTTTTATGATGGACAGATGCACTTTTATGCACTTTTATGATGGATAGATGCACTTTTATGATGGATAGATGCACTTTTATGCACTTTTATGATGGATAGATGCACTTTTATGCACTTGTATGATGGATAGATGCACTTTTATGCACTTTTATGATGCATAGATGCACTTTTATGCACTTTTATGATGGATAGATGCACTTTTATGATGGATAGATGCACTTTTATGCACTTTTATGATGGATAGATGCACTTTTATGCACTTTTATGATGCATAGATGCACTTTTATGCACTTTTATGATGGATAGATGCACTTTTATGCACTTTTATGATGGATAGATGCACTTTTATGATGGATAGATGCACTTTTATGCACTTTTATGATGCATAGATGCACTTTTATGCACTTTTATGATGGATAGATGCACTTTTATGGAATTCACTGCCACTATAAAGCTTGGAAGAGCCAGGACTTTTTTTTTATTTATATTACTCTGATTGTATTTGTCTGAAAGAAGAATGTCATGAGGGTGAGTAAATCATGGGGTAATTTTCCTTTTTGGGTGAACTCATCCTGTCATGATTGGAGGGGAACATCTTTCTTTAGATCAGAAGGGGTGTGTGTGTGTGTGGAGCCGCTGGTGAATCTGTGTATCTCTGGGGTTTCGTCTCCGGAGGAAGTGTGTGACAGGCTGAGTTTGATGGAGGACTGGTTGAAGCTCCAGGAATAGAAAGCGATTGTTGTTGGTGCTCCATAAAGAGTGTCCAGAGGCCGCGTGTGTGTGTGTGAGTGTGTGTGTGTGTGTGTGTGTGTGTTCACGGGTCTTTCATGTGAAAATGGGAGGTCTGGTCAGCTGCAAAAACATGCAGCCCCCTCCGAACTCGCCTGGTGACCAAATGCCAGTGTCACACTCCACACACACACACACACACACTCCTCACAGACCCTGTGCAACTGCTGCTGACAGTCGATCAGTCTTACTTCTTCAGGAGTTAATAAATGATTCAGTGAGAAAGTGATGAATGAGGATGTTTAAAGCAGAGTCCATCCATCCATCCATTGTTTAATCAGTATCCATCCAATCCATCTATCCATGGGCTGATGATAATATAATTTGTAATGAATAATACAGTATTATAGTAGTTTTAGACTGGTTTTGAACTCTATTGTATTCTGTCTCACTTGTTTATTGAAGCCGCTTTTGAAAGTTTATGTCTCCAATAACAGTGTGTCAGTACAGGTCATCAAAACACAGTTTAATGTCCAGTGAAATGAAACTCTCTAAGAGCTTTTATTGTCCGATGTGACGTGTAAATAGCGCAGTATTAATGTGTGTTTGAGTATCAGTGACTCCATCAGACGGAGGGAAACACCCGGCTGTAAATCTGCTGAAAGAGACTCTGTTTCGCCAGCGTTTGGAAAGTGGGATTATTTATGTGTGTGTGTGTGAAGCCAAAGGTGTGTCACAGAGGTCCAGCTAGCGCGTTTGACGTCGTAAAAATTATTACCTTTTAAATTAAGCCCTTCGTTCCCTCCGTTTCTCTTAATGTGCCGAGCCTGAGGGACACGCTCTGATCCAGAGGAAAGACAAACATTGGAAAGAAGTTTCGCCGTGTTTCCTTGTTAAGGGCCTTTGATATGAAACCAGCCGTGGCAGCAGCGTGTGTGTGTGTGTGTGTGTGTGTGTGTGTGTGTGTGAGGTTTTACATTAGTAAAGACATGAATGGAGTCTTGTGCTACATCCATCCATCTAATCCATTCATCCATCCACCCATCCACTCATCCACCCATCCATCTGTCCATCCATCCATCTACCCATCCATCCATCTGTCCATCCACCCATCCATCTGTCCACCCATCCATCCATCCATCCACCCATCCATCTGTCCACCCATCCATCCATCCATCCATCCATCCATCCATCCATCTGTCCACCCATCCATCTATCCATCCATCCACCCATCCATCCATCCATCCATCCACCCATCCATCCACCCATCCATCTGTCCACCCATCCATCCATCCATCCATCCATCTGTCCACCCATCCATCCATCCACCCATCCACCCATCTAC